CGCGTTGACCAATTAAGGACTTTTGCCGGTCATTGCTCGAAGTCTGCGATGTGACGGGATAGATTGCTTCCGAGACCCTCAGCCAAGTTCCGAGCCTGTCCTCGTTAAATTCGTCTGCGAATGCGAATGTTGACTTTGCTCTTGAAGTAGTTCAGGATTGACTTTACCTCGCTCCTGACTCACTGCATGGAAGAGGGACGTCGTCACGTGTAGAAAGAAATGACACCATCTGTTCGCACACTGCTTGATTCAATTGAGCTCCCGGTCGGACCGGACTGAATCGTTGAATGTTCAATTATCGTTTTGATCAAATATAGGAGTCGCTGTGAGCCCACCGATGCTTCTCGCAGTTTTCCCACCTCTTCATGATCGCTCCTTTGACGAACAGGATTCTCGGAACGCCTCCGGCTAAGAGACTCACAGTGGAAGACCGTTCGTCTGTAGTGATATGGTAGGGTCTCAAATATTCTGATCAGTCGAGACGATTGCCGGAAGATGCAGCCGACCGAAGCGCAAGGTCGTTCCTTTGCCGGCTTCCGGACGGCCTGCAGACGATCGAAAGCGGCATTCGACAAGCAAGCAAGCGTATCCCTGCGAGTTTAGTTGCCAGAGCTCGACTGTTTCAACGTTTGTTTGAGCAAGTGTCCGCAGAAAAAGATAACTCTCTCCGAGATTATTCGGGTAATGGGCTTTTATGACCATCATCATTAAATGACTCGCTGCGGGTTCGCTTCTCGTGCGGAATGAGAAGCATGCCAGTGGCTTCTTCCTCGGTCGGAAATCAACGCCGCAGTTTTTTCGTCTCCCACGGGAGGATTCTTCTTCCCGAATGACACCGTTCCGACGTTTGGAGGGATTCCGCCTACCCCGCGATGAATCTCCCGCCGATCGTTGCGACAACGAGGAGGCTACAGAGATAGGACCGTAAATCGTATGCAACATTTCTCGCAGCCACCAGAATCTTTTATTGATCTAGCCTCATCGATGTGCGGAGAGCGCCCAATGCACGTTCATATTCCGATTCCCGGCAAGTCGAGCGGATGTGCTTCCGAATCGACGAAAGCATGCTGACATGAAAACGCGAATTCGTCCTGCGCGGGATCGTATATCACATTAATAATAATCCGAAGATAATGAAGGAGTTCAGGATAATTAGATAAAATAGGGTTGAACGCAACTACAGAAGCCGCGTTCAGATCTCACTACATGCTCATTTCACGCTTGAAATGGAGAGGTCGAGGAGTTATGTCGCAGGTCGACGCTCTCGCGAATGGAATCGATTTCCGTCTTGACGCAAAGCGAATCTCTCCTCCCTGATTAGGGAAACGGCGCGGCGGCGCATCTACCTCCTTCCATTCGTAATACGTCGCCTGATCGAACGAGCGAGCCGTCCGCCCGGTCGGCCTTCGAGCAACGAGAGGGAATCGACATGGAATTCACCAACCGGATATCACCATGAAGTTTGAGGGAACTGTGATATCGGTCCAGCGGTCGTGTTTGCAGTCGTACTCGTAGAAACCTCTAGGAACGTCCCAGTTCCCTTTACCGACGTCATAGGCGATAAGGAAGCAGCGGTTTTCGATAGTGAAAATTTTCTCCCTGGCGCTCGGAAACCAACAGGGCAAAGGAACGAAACGCTTCGCGACGTTATCAAATTTCGAGACGTTGATTTCTTCGCGACTCTCGACGGTGCGCGACGTTTTGTAGAGCGTGTTGTTGAAGTGTCTGAGGTTGCCGTACCAGTTATTGTACTGGTCCTCGTTCCACTTTTCAAGCAGCTCCACTTTCGCTGTGAATGTCTCTTTCTCGACAACATCCATTCTGAATACGCCGTAGCGCAGCACTTCAGACTGCTCACTTGACGTTATTCTGAGCCTTGACCTCTTGGCGGTGTTGCCTGTTTTTACCTTGACGTTGAGAGTGCACTCCTGTTCAACGATTGATGTGATGGACGCCACGAGGAAAAATACGTGTTCATCGGTATGGTGCCGCTGCATCTCGACGACGTTCTCGATCGTGTGGCCGGGACTGAGAATCGCTTCGAAGCGGTTGGTCAGCGTTCTCCAGACCCACAGCTGAAGGACCTCTCCGGCGTTCTTCCGTTTTTTGAAAACTAAACACAGATAGGGGTTGTGATTATCGAACAGGAACGGATAACTCCATTCGAGGGGATCGTGCGGGAGATAGTCGTTGTGCTTGATGAAGCTGCCGTCGCGTTCCAGGAGTCCGATCGGGCCGTCGATGTCGGCCACGATCATTTCTCCCCGAGGGCTCAGCACTCCGTACATGTAGCTGAAAGCTGAAGGATCGATACCGGGTCGGTCGGAGATCTGAGTCCAGAAGCGTCCGTTGAAACGATAAATTCGGTTTTGGAAAGTCTGATAATAGCACTGGCTCGGGTCGACGAATTGGTGATCGAACTGCTGATTCAGGAGCGCACCGAGCTCCTCCCAGAGCTGAGTTCTCTTTTCCGGGCAACGACGCATCCACTTCCTCAGCTGTCTTTCCATACTCCTTCTCATGACTTCGTTCCTCGGACGGAATTTCTCGTTTTTACAAAGGATCGTTACTCTGGTTATGGGCAGTCGGTGGAACTCCCGCGACGCCATAACAAGATCCCAGTTATCCGCTATGGTATCGATGAGCTGTCGTTCGAGGCTCGCCAGCGACGGGCCGAACATACACGCGAGGATGTAAAGGCCGGCCGCACTGCTAGTTTCGAATTCGAGCCACGACGTGTACGCAAAGTCAAGAAGTTGCTTCAAAGCGGTCGACGAAACGGGAATCTCGACTCTTTCGGTTTTTTTGGCTTTCAGTATGCGATCGACACAGGCTCGCTCCTGACCGCTGTACAGAGCGTCCATGTTACGCAAACTCCTTACGATGCACTTGTGGGCTCGGACGTAGTTTCCGTCGGTGCAATGGAACGTAATATTCGTCGGAATCTCTGGCTCGGCAGTGTCCCGGTCCCGTTTGCAGCATTCCCACGACTCTCTGAGAACGTCCATGATTTGCTCGGCCACTTCGTCCTGACGACGCTCGTCGATCCGGAGACATTTCCTGACGTCGACACTCAACTCCCGTCTCCACCAGTAACCGGTGTCCCGCAGATAGATGTAGTCGACGATATTCTGCAGATCCGTACCGTTCCAGTCACATTTCAAATAATTCGTGTCGAGCCGATCGAGGTTGAAGTTCAAATCCATTACTTTGCACGCAGCACGGAGAATGCACTCGTCGATGCTGATCCTTTTATCGTCCTTCGAAACGAGTTTCACGTCTCGTTCGTCGATGCTATGGAACGCCGACTGCAGAATGTCACTTGGCGATCGGTCTTCTCGATATTCGAACAGTCGATTGCTTCTCAGAGGTCTCGATGACGACGACACCTCGTTTTCTTCCTCGCAAACGCCGCTCTTGACAACCGCTTGCTCTACCACCGAATTCGGCTGCTCTTCCTCAGCGGCTTCGATCTGTCTACGTCGACGGAATACACCCATGGTGGCACAAAGGTTCGATCACTTTTTCATCGATCGGTAGTTACCGGAAACTGGGCCAGCTCGCGGTACTTTGAGAAAAATTTCGAAAGCTCGCCGAAGCACTGCGGTCAGCCTTGAGTAGTTTCGGAGAGCATGTTCCCGCCGTGGCTTGCCTATTTCAGAGAGAATTCTCTATTCTCTCCGACTTAGGCGAGGGCGTTGAGGACCGCCGCGGCCACCAACCAGCCTTTGGTGAAACAGTGGCCACAGCGGCAAGCTATGCAGAGCCAAGGCAATCACCCTTGCTGCCCCACGGCAAAGCTGCTCTCGAGGCAAGAGAAGCACCGTCTGAGATCGAGACTCATTGACAATCAGTCTACCAAATGAAGCCAACAGCTTGAACCTTGAGACTTGTCGGAATGAGATACGTGGCCAGTAGCCACGAAAGTCAGGCAATTATAGCTTGCTGGAAGACACTTCCGAATAAAGGCAAACAAACAGAGAGTCGAGGGACGCAGTCTGAATCCCTGCAGCGATCCGCTGAGAAGCTCCTCTGGAATGGAAAGTCATCAGTCGCAATGCGGAGCTCCCATCCGCATTGAGATCTTATGTTATTCTCATCTCCGACTCAATATTCTGATTTTTTCCGACGGGCATGACGAGCTACATCTTTTTCCCTCGGAAATTCCTCGATTTGAGCTGGTCCACCGACCTTCTCCTGGATTGACGCTCATGATCATTTCCGAAAACTCAGTGTACCCCAAGTGGCGCGGAGATACGCAGCTCAGGGTCAGGAAAATGTGACAAGTTCCCGACACAGCCGTCATGAATGAGTAATCTGTGTCAAGTGACCAACGCCCACTCAGGAAGGTTGTCACTTGGTCTCGACGCGTCGGAACGTCACTTGTACATAGGACTGCCCTCAATATTTCGAACAGGCACTGAGGGAGAGGGAGTCGGCGTCCTATGCTTTTCCCAAGCGTCTCCTTCGCTCAGACAAAGTAAACACTCGCCGCCGACTGACGTAAGAACGTGAACGACAGCAACTTCAGAGGCGCGAGGCTGACAGAGCTCGATCCGACTGAAGCCATGCTATGCGTAACGAGCGTATTGTTCGAGCGCTATATAAATCTACTGTCGCGGAAGGGGTGTTAATTACCCATTGTGTGAGATGTCCGGAAAGGTCACTCTAGTCACATCGGAATCGCCAATGAGTGTGGTCATCGCTTCCCTCGCCGAAGGTCGAGCGAGAGTTCTCGGTCACTTACTATTGGTGCGCCGGGAATGAAACTACCAAGCTCCCCGGGGTTCTGCGAGTTGCTTCTCGAGTTGCTTCGAATCCACTGCTGAAAGTCTGAACCCGTTCAGGGAATTCCGGTCTGCTCGGAGCTCAGGAGGGCGCAGCGTATGATGTTTTTCCTGAATGCAGGTGTCAGAGAGGCCGATGTGCGATCTTCAGCTTCGGTATGGGACACGGCGCGGTAATCAGACCGGAGTTTACTCCGGCCTCAAGACGCATGAGTTTCGCTCCTGAATTTATCTTTATTACGGTGATGATTTGATCATCAGGTTCTCGATAGTAGCGAGAGGTAACTCTTAGAATGGATGTGGCTTCAATGAGGATTCGGATCCTGACAGACTTCTCACATCTTGCTCGGCAGTGTCTTGATGATGGCCTCTGCTTGAGCGAGGGTCGAATCTTGCTGGAATGGAGACAAAATTTAGGAGCTCGATAAACCAAACGGAGAGGGTCGCGGATCGTCGATAGGTGCGCGTCCCGTCGCTTCTTGCGCTCGAGATTCCTTAGAGTATCAGTCAGGAATCGCATCAGCCATCGGTGAATGACAGAGCATCCCACCAAATCCGATCGCTTGGACTGCCCCTGAGACATGGTACCAAAGCTGAGTGTGTAGACTATAGAACGTCCCAGTGGCCGGAATAAAGGCAAATAGCCGAATGTCAGATCTGCTCTACCGTCCTTGAATCGTCGGTGGTTGAATGGTCGGGAGATCCTTCAGTTGAAGGAGTGGTTTACAACAATGTCTCGCGTCAGCCCAGCGCGGCTAGTGTGCTTTTCGTCGCCCCCAGGAAGACAGCGAGGAGAGGAAACCGAGTCGCAGCGGAAACCCGGAAACGCAATACCTAATGTCGCGGATTATCCCTTGAGACACCGCGAAAATGGACTCTGAGCCGGCTCAGAGGTGTGACGGAAAGCGTCTAAGACGAGACTCCAATGAGTGCTCAAGGCTGCCTCATCAGGCTCGACGTCTCGAGCGGCAACTTGAACCAGAGCCTAAATCGCCATTGCAGTCCGGCTCGGGACGTCCAGGTGGAAAACAATACCCGAGCCGTTAAACCTTGGCGGTGTGGTCCAGCCCGGAAAAAGCTGATTCAAAGGCCGCCGCCTGAAGTTGACCTTAAAATAACCTGATCTACTTCCGATAGGCTCCCTCTGAAATGTTTGTCCCCAGAGGCACGCAGAGCATTCTGAAAGAGGGGGGGGGGAAATTCCTTGACGAAACGCTCCTCTGGGAATAGCCTCTTTCCATGGTAGGTACATCGACAAACTATTGTCGGGACAACAGATTCGTCCGCGTACACCTACATTGGAGAATAAACTTCCAAGGAGTTGGCCTAAAACGCACTTTTCCTGAATGACGGCCCGGCACCGAGCGTCTTATTTATGGTCAATGAAACGAATGCGGGAGCCTTCTCATAGAATTCATGGTCCCTGATTAGAGAACTACTGAAAGCTCGAACGCATGAGGACACTCTGAGGGAATTCAGGATGGCAGATTAACGGTTACCCTTGCCTTACAAAATCTAATAGCACTCTTAGAGTCAGGACGAAGAGCGTGCGGGCGAGTAGACTCACCTTGAAGAAACAGAAGCGGATGTAGTCCTTGGCATAGCTTTTATGCTCTTCGCTGTAGAAAGCAGATGGCGGGATTCCCTGGAGCTTATGAGTTGTTGATAGCCATTTTGCAAATTGTGAGTCGGGTGTGCCCGTGAAGCCCGATACATCAATGTTCTTGGCTGTAACGTACAAGCTGATATAATCACTTTCCCAGACAAACACGAAGAGCGCAGCCATCGGACTCCATCGGACTACAATCAGACTCGGTGTAGCTGCTCCTCTGAGTGTCCAAGAGGGCTATGAAGGGAACATGATACTAGTCCTTGTCGAGGACGACCGAGAGTACCGAGCGGAATTAGGTACTTCGATGAGCTTCTTATTTACAATCATCCGTCAGAAAGCGAATCCGAAAAACGCGTACAGTGAAAGCTTGTTATAACGACCCCCATTACAACGAATTTCTTGGTAGAAGGAACAAGGAATTTCTCCTCCTTTGGCCAGCGCGCCATGGGGATAGTGTTGAGCGGCATTCCTCCCAGCGGAAACTCGGTACAACGAACCAGTTTCGTCCGTCCCTTCGTGTTCGTAGTCACGAGCTTTTATCTAGTGAATATATATATATATATATCTATCTTTGTATCTAGAGAATCCGTATCCGAAAAATGCGTTCAAGTCCGAAAACTGACTGTGGTCGATCATGCTCCCTCTGAAGGAGAGAGAGCTTTTCTAGAGCGATCTCGAGCGCGCGACGGCCGGTGTTTCGCACGTGAACAAGATACTCGATTCCCAGCTCGGTCACACGTCAGTATCGGGCCATTGTCGACTCGAGGCCCCGAATTCTCATGGTCATCGGTATGCACGAGACGCGGCAGCATATATACATAGAAACAAGCTTCAACATTGACCGCGACTCAAGTTCAGACGGTCTATCTGTCTTCTCCGACCGGGCCCCTACCCATCTAAGCCAGAGCGTCGACTTTAAACGCTGCTCGGATGCGGGAGATGCGAACACTCGAGCCTCCCGACCCGATGCACTCGGAATAATCAAGCGGAGCGAAATCGTAACCGGTCGTTGCACGCTGCAAAGCCTCCCGGTGTCCTGTAAATGAGGGACGGGAGCGAGGAGCTCTACGGTTCCCGCCGAGAAAACGGTACGAGCTCACAGTGAGCGTCTCCGACCAGCCGTGAAGTGGGCATAAAAGGATTCGAACCCAGCGGGCATCCAAGCCGGAAACGGAAAGGTTTCCTTTCCCTTGGCTGTGGCGAAAGTAGGCGGCCATGCGGGTCCGCAGCGAGCGCGAAGGCCTCGCTAATCTTCGCGACCAAATCAATGGAATGCGATTTCTCGGAATGTTCCCATATCTCGGCCACGGATAGGATTCCAGCTCCTTCTCCTCGTCAGCTGGGCTTTTCTGCTGAAGCTTGTGGAGACCACGGTCAATTGACGTCAACCAGTGGTAAGCTTGAGGTCAGCAACTATGTATGTAGACCGATGGGAGGCACGCGCACCCGAGGAATCTCGATGAGGTCCTATCTACGCAAAGATCTTTCCCGAATCATCTCCACGTATGTTCAATCTGTGATCGATCCGAGACGTCACGGCAAGTACTCGATTGGCGGTAAGCTCCACGCCCGTGGGTGGGAAATACTGTGGCGTCAGCTTAGATGGGCATTCTTGTGGCGCTAGAACATTGAAAGGGGGTAGTGGAAGAGTCCAGCGCCCTGAGTGCCCGGAAACCTTCACAGGTAGCGGGCAAGGGGAAGTCGTCCAATCCACTATGCGACTGTTTGGCTCCGAGCTGCCTCTCATTGCGGAAGAGCAGTAATTTGAATCTCTTCTCGAAGATCCACGCCTTAATCGGCCCGAATACGAGAAGTCCCTCGATGAGTCCGCTGATCCAAACTCTCGACCCGTGGCGGGGATCATCGGATCTCGGCGCGAAGATTCAGCTCCGAGGGAAATCGCCTCCAAAGTCGGACGATCCGATCAGACCGCAGATGAGGAATCGTGGGTGATCACACGATGAATACTTTGAGCAGCGATTCAGATATCACTGGCCGAGGGATACTATTTCCACATCTAGTCCATTGTGAAGCTACGAACGTCCGGGCGCTCTTCTCGACGTCGGACGATGTTCCTCTCACGGTTCGCTTTGACCGATGTGATCTCGATTTGATACCGTGTCGAATCAACGAGCCGAAGCGATTTCAGGTCGTCCTGGCAGATGCACGGACGAGAGCGGATCGAGGAGAGAGAAGCGCCTGCCTCAGCATACAAAACAGAATCCGTTTTCCGCTCGCTTGTGAGAATTACACCGAGACTCGAAGGAGCTGAAAACTCATTGAACTTACCGAACTGTGTGTAGTCGGCGATGAGGAAATAACCGCCCTCCGGAACCGTAGGCTTCATGCCGACGCTCTGGAGAAACTTGCAAATCCGGTCTCTCTTGGGCTCGAGCTCCTCGGCCAACTCTTTCCAGTACGATCCGTTTTGTCCGATTTTCTCCGTCTCAATTTCGAGCCCGATCGCGATCGCTTCTTGGATTGGAGTCGCGCACGTGTAAACGGAATTCTGATGTACCAATTGGAGCGCTCTCATCAAATTCGCCGGTCCGTATGCCCAACCGGTTTTCCAGCCTGGAAGCAGAATCGTCAGCCTTATCCCGGATACGCGACAAGAGATGAAGCTAAGTATTCCCTAAATTCGCTCGACAAGCTGGAGCTCAGTAAGCAGAAACTTTTCGTGCTATCAGCTATGCCCTTCAACTTCTCTGAAGTGAGAGGTTCTCCGAGTCAGACTGTGTCAGAATCGATTCTTCCAGGCCTATGATTAATGAAGCAGAAGCAGACGGAGCGGATGGCTGAGCCGTGTTTTCTGCGAGGAACCCCGAGAATGTCGACGATAAGGCCTCGGCTACACAACTCGGCGTCTGGAGCGCAGCCCGGAGCTGCCGCGATGAGGAGAATGATATATGTAAGGTCTCTACCTCGCAAACACCTCCATTCGAATAAAATCGAAATTTGATCGTGAACGATCGAGGCACGTATAGAATACATGTTCGGATCCGAATGTTGCCCCATTTGCACGGAGGAAGTGCAGACAAACGACGGAGAGCAAATGAATAAAAAGGACGAGGAGTGCAGCTGAGGGCGTCAATCAAGTACAGTGATCCGACTCACCAGTGACGCTGAACGTTTTGCCGGCACTCCCGATTGTGATGCTTCTCTCCCACATGCCGGGCAGTGTATCTGCAAGAAATGAGCAGTTCCAAGCGAATTCCCATGATATTGGATATCTTCCGTGGGGAAGCACGCTGTCCATGCCCAGAGCTGGCGATCGTTTTTCGCTTCACGAGCGCTTTGCCTCGTGCGGCAGAACAGAGACACAGCGTTTCCACAGCGTCAAAATGCTATCGAAAGGAATGACGGATGACGGTTTCAAATTAGCGATCCAAAGAGTTATCGCGGAATGTTCTCGCTGACCGAGAGATCCGGAGGAATCAGGATGTCTCCCAGGGAGAATAGCAAAGCGAGTTGGTCGATGAGCTGGGGGAACGTGCGAGAGCGAAGCCCTGCTTTTTCGAAAGTCCATTTTCTGGGTCAAAGCTGGGTTGAAGGCGTCGTGAAAACACATCGTCGCCAAAACTGGGCGCATCCCGGAGCTCCCTCAGGAAAAGCTGGCTGTAAAACCCCGCCATACATACTCATACGGAAATGCGTCTTCCCGCCGTAAACGATCCACTCATAAACCTCATCCATAACAGCAACCACGTCGTGCTTCTTGCATAAATCCGCAATGACAGTAAGTTCTTCCTGGAAGATACAGAATCCTAAGATTACCGCTTTCTGGGTCACACGCTCGGAGATCAGTCTGCGGAACGCAACTCACCTTCGAGAAAACTTTGCCGAGGGGATTGTGAGGCGTATTTATCACAATCAATTTGGTTTTCGAACTGAATTTGCTCGCCAGCTCTTTCGGGTCGAGAACCCAGTCTGCAGAAGATATCGTTTCGTTTTGCGTCTTCTGGAATCGTCGTAAAGGGGAGCGGATTTAAGAATGCCGGTTTTCGAACGTTGTCAATCTCGCCATGGAATGATCAGGGAAATGATTGCGATTGCCAACGGAGAAGGAGTGCAAAAGAATTCGGGACAGCTTACGAGTTTAAGTGGAATGAAAACGGGAACTCCGCCAGCCATTCGCACCATGGGCTCATAGCAATCGTAGAAAGGCTCAATAATTATGACTTCATCGCCTGCAGAGGAATTCATAGGGTTTATGGAGACGATAGGAACTCTCTTCCTTATAGAGTCAATGGCGAAGTACAGTCACTGAGCGCCTGATGCGCATAGGTATAGGCCTTACCTGGGTTGACGAGTCCCATGAAAACACAGAACAGAGCTTCGTACGCTCCGACAGTGATCAGAACTTCTGTGTTTGGGTTGATTTTGTGGCCTGTGAGTCGGCCGTACAGACCGGCCAAGGCGTTCACCAGACGAGGATGACCCTTTGCAAGTCACCAGACAAAATAGCATTACAGAGTGCGGGCTAAGTGTCTCTCCGGCATACGACACAGCCTGTCCAAGCGTGGATTGCATCTGGTTGAAAATTGAGCCTTTGAAGGGAAGATAGGGAACTTACGAAGCCTCTCGTGTATTGATGAAGCAGAAAGTTTCCATCTTTCGAAACGGCTTCCCGAAGTGGCTTGGCTACGCTTTCTGGGGGAGGCATATCAGGGAATCCCTGGCCAAGGTTCACCGGTTTCACCTCGAGGGCGAGTTGACCGAATTCCACCCTGGAAAATGGGATTCCGTCAAGCTTTAGTTTCGCACCTCGGTCGAGGCATGAGATGAGCATCCACTCTCTCCCGGACCCTTCCAATACTAAAATATATGGTCGCAGTGGGCGCCGGAATCTAGACGAGATTCGCATTACAGCTCAGAGAGACTGGTCTAGTGCGGTGGATGAGAATCCACGAGACTTACTTCCGAAGGGTTTATGACTCACCAAACACTTTCCCCCATACCCGATACGCGTTGCGCTGGCGAGAACTTCGACATGGTCCTTGCAAATTGAGTCTGAAACATAAGAGCTTCTTCACTAGTGTGTCAGTGTCTCTTGATCGAGTGTGATACGTTCTCGGGGATTTCGACGACGGAAGGGTGAAAGGAAGCTCTTCTCGAATGCGGCGACAACTTACAGTGGCGTTGACAATAGGGAGCTGCGCCTGAACTGCTTTGCATACAGGCCGGAAGATCACCGAGAGCATCTGACAAATATGGAAACCATCACCAAGGTGTAAATTGAATCACACTTCATCTAGCCTCGTTCGATCGAGGACACATCGGATATCAGGAAGGTCTCGCGAGGCACGAATACAGAAGCAATAGCGGAAGCGGACTACATTTCGGTTAAGCTGTATCAGATGACCTGCCGGTCTGTCTAGAGAATGACAAGGCGCTATTCTGGCAGTAGCCATCATTAATAGCCGCTGGATAACAGACATGCGACTCTGTTAACGCTGAGGAGGTCGGAGATCTTCCCCGTGGAATTATCAACACGAAACTACGCCGTGACACGGTCGGAAGCTTTCCGCCACAGGGGCTGTTCTCGACCGAGTACACAGTCGATCACGATAGACAGCATCATTTATCAATACCGAAAGGATCAGCAAACTCCGGAGCATGATGGAATCTCACTCAGCACCGTCACACAAATGAACGACGCTCTACGCCCACAGAGGACCCCGAAACATACCGGCGGAAGATAAAGGGAAGTGTGCTCCCTATCAGAGGGAGGAGAAGCACGAAACCGGTCACCTTGCATAAACCAGTTTTCGAACGTCAAAAACCGATAAACACCGAGTTCTATACAAAGTGATGCTCATACCTCGGAACGAAAGCTCAATGGCAGCGAGAACCCCCCGATCCAACGATTTCGCCGAGGGAAGTCACCGAGCACACTCACCTGATAACCAGCTGTCTGCTGAAAGTGAACGAGAGGAGCCCTCCTTCATGAAGGGCCTGCGTGGTGATGACGGCGATAGCAGCCGGAGCGCTAAGCGGTATTTCGAATTTTGGCGCCAAAAAGGCTAGTGATCATCCGCAACTCAGAATAACAACAACATGTGTGTTTCTCGAACGCAAAGTTACCGGAACAACGGCGCGATGCATTTTGCGAGTTGAACAAGAAATAGGAATCTGAATGTGACCGCCCTAGCCAGGAATCTCCCAGAGCTTGAGGTGTCCGAAGCCAGCTGTGGTGAATATGGCTCGGAGGGCCCGACGCGGACTCGCCAATTTGTCGGACTCCGATGATGAGGATCGTACGAAAGTGTCCGGCAGGAAACGTCCCCTGGAATCCTCACAAGAGAACTCTGTTTCTTTATTCGATACAAAAGTTTTCACCGAGAAAGTCCTAAGCACGATACGTGACGAGGAAGATAAGGTATTAAGCACCGACTGTCAGGAGGATATCACGACGGTAAGTAGTGGCCTATCGATCTCATTCCGAATCCTTGTCTGACCCCTACTAGGCTCATATTCGTCTCTCATCAAACAGCTCTTTTCCTCTGAATGCTCATTCCGAATCGCTTTCAAGGTGGCTGCTGAGGAAACCCCGGAGCTCACTCTGGGAAAAATGAAGCGCTCGTCTTCTGCGCGACCGTCAAAGAGGAGTCGAATAATAGATTTAATGTCAAGCGATGAAGACGAAGACGACGAGTTTGCCGAGCTGATGAAATCCACGTCGAACCTGGAGACCTCATCGATGGCGCTTGAGCTGAGCAACAGCCGAATCGAACTCGAAGCCGATGACCTCAAGAACGGCAGTCGCGATGAGGACGAAGATGAAGAATCTTTCCTGAATCGCTCCGGGGATGACGATCTCGCCGCAGAAACTCAAAGCGAATATCGGGTTCTAGTGAAACACTTTGGCGTGAAAGAGAGGATCTGGATCCGTCTTCAAGAAGCCGAACTCATGCAGAGTCTCTTTGACGAAATCCAACGAGCGCTGAACGTACCCGTCACTCTGATGATTGATGTTGACGGTGAACGTGAAGAAGTCCTACCGACGCAGACTCCCAAAGACTTGAATATGTCGGTGGATCGGATTGCTGTAGTTTATTCCTTCCCTATTCAGGAGAGCACGAACTTCAGCGTTTTCAAATTGAAAATAGTGACGACCAATAGACGAGCTACTAAAGAAATTGCTTGCAGCCCCAAGGAACGCTTCGAAGGGATATTCTGCAGATATTGTGAACAAAACAATGTGGTTCGGGGTTCAGTGGTTTTCAAGTTCGATGGCGATGTCTTAGAGGACACGCAGACTCCCGAGGATTTAGACATGGAGTCGGGGGAGCAGATAGAAGCGCACATATCCGAGCCGGCTCAATCGGTGACCTCGGAATATGAACCTACTGAGCCTGCAAAGAGAACTTCGGCGCGCCTTCGCAAATCATAAGACCGGGGCAGAGATTTGGGAGCGTCGCCTCAAATGTTCCCTGAGCGGAAATCATTCACGTAAAGGAGATGCGAACTTGGAAATGGTTCATCCATCGTCATCTATATCAGTTCCTATTCACGGTAACGCTCCCAGCCTGTAGCGAAGCTCGACAGCTAGGATTTGGTGAGCTGTGGGAGTGTACGGTCGACATAATTTCCAGACGGGCAGCTTTGTCTCGCGGCTCGCTCGGTATGGAAAGTCAGGTCGTGAACTCAGATGTACATATTATAGCAGATGTACATAACACGTACAGGAGTGGACGATCGCCATTGATTTCGAGTAAATAGGTGTAAACTTGACATTCGTTCATCGGCGAACTTCTTCCCTTTTTATTTCATTCCAGTAGTCTCGATCTTTTTTTTTTGCTCACAATCAGTATATTTTACATCAGGCAGCGTGTGCACGGCGGGGACGAGCGCGTATTCAGCTGAATTGAGATTCGCTCTTCAACAGGAGCTCCCCTCAATTTTAGTGGAGAAAATAGATGCGATATGTTTTCTCTGCAGCGATCGATCCTCGACCCGTACGAACACTGTGGGAACTCTCGGCCGCCGTCGACGTTGCCGTCGAAGTTTCGCAGTTTCACCGCCGCTCAAGTTCAAGGGCCCATGCGAACAACGGACAAATCCTTCTCAAATGTATAAAAATCGTGGTCTTGTTGGAATGCCTCCACCGAGTCCACCAAGTAGTCTTGTCGTGACCATTTCACATTACTTTTCACCTGAAGGGGAAACTTCACGATTATCGGATGAAATTCAGCGTACGGGAATGGGGAGCAATCATTTCAAATTCGGAAATGTAATTTCTTCTCGAAGGACTCGTTGCCTCGAGCTCCCCTTCCTCTCTTCAGCCGCGTTGCTTACCGGTTCTTTGGACACATAGAGTACGTAAGTTGTAGTTGTGTTGGGATTGACGAAGAATCGCTCATAGAAGTCCTCGAGGTCTTTCTTCGTGATGGACCTTAAAGCTTCAGCTTCCTTCGAGTTGCGTTGCAACAGATAAGTCTGCTCTACCATCTCGCCCCAGTAACTGGAAAATCGTATACATAGGCAACATCGTCATTTGCTCCGATATTTTCACGGACTGAGAAAATCGGGCAGCGAAGGGGGAACGCTTGGGAGTGCTCGACGGTCGGGAGATCTTAGCCTTCCGGGATTTGATGTTCACTTACGATGTAGAACTGATCTCAATCTTCTGAGGTTTGATGAGTTTCTGTTTGATCGCTGCTCCGCGCTGCTCTTCAAGAACCGCGTCGGTCAGCTCGTTGAGAAACTTGCGAACGTAATTCCGCAAGAACTCCGCCAGACGTTCCTCCACGTAGCTGACGCTGTGTATCGTCACTATGTAGAATATCAGACCTGAAGATAGGATCCTCATTGTAGCGGCCCACAATGGCAGGAGTCTCATCTTCCATCCGGCTGAAAGAGAATTTAGCGATATTCCTCACCGAGAGATCCGCGCTGACGTTTCTCCGGTGCCTGCACCATGTACGCGAGTTGCTCCGTTGTTCGGATCACATTGAACAGAGGCTCCCTTATCAACCTGGAGAACAGGGTGGTCAATGCAGCCAATCGATCTTCAGTGACTCCTTCACGGTCCACCTCGACCACCATGTACAGGCAATTTGTCGATAGTTGCGGATCAATCCGTTGCTGACGGTAAGCGACTCCACGTCTCAGCCGTCGATGTCGGAACGTTTGGGTGTCAGCGAAAGTGAGACCACCCTCTGCAATCAGACGGAAGGAAAAACATTAAATTCTTGTGATACTCTTGTGCTTTCCTCGGTCGAAGTAGCACTTCGTCCTCAATCTCAATCAGATACACGCATCGGGTGCCACGGAGAAAAAAACGTATAAAACGATAGCACTGAAATGGTCTCTGAATTCTCTCGACTCCAGCGACCGCTGTATCCAAACTGAAGGCACGGGAACTTCTTCCAGCAAGAATCCACCCTCACAGAGGTCTCGTCGGTCTCGCTCAGAGGTCGCTACGACGCAACCTGACTCGCAACAGTCGCCATAGCGGGAAGAAGGACCATCCGGAGAGCTCTTCTCGATTCGCCGCTCATTTTGGGGAATTCTCCCGTCCTCGGGGTCAATCATTCATCAGACGATCAAATGGATGACCGTCCACAGAACAGAAGGCCTCTCGCGCTTGCAGGCGGATTTTTCTCGATAATTTACTGTCTAAACTCTTTCTCCGCCTCCCTTCGCTGACGACTTCATGATCCGCTTCGTGACGCGCGTATTCCGATCACTCATCAGAAATTCTATCAATCACGATTGGCTGCAGACACGGGCTCGAAGAAGCCTCTAGACCCAAGAGAAGTGTCGGTGTATGAGATGGGACTTTTGTTCTGAGGGTCCAGCTGTGAGTCTGTGTGATGCTTTCGGACTGAGTCTAGGCTTTCAAGCTTAGTTCTCCGCAAAATTCCGACCCAGTTCATAGACGCATTGGGAGATCGACCTCGGCGAGCTTTCCGATACGTGAGATGCTGACGATACATGAATTCGTCTGACGAGCGTGACTTCAATCGGCAGAATACGATTTCTCGATTCATCCCTGGACCCATAGTCTGATTCAGCGCCTCAAAGACCAGCTGGGACCATCCGTATATGGAGCTCATGAATACCGCCTCATGAGGACACCGACACGGATGTCTTCTACTTCACGAGAACTTGGTCGAGTATGGAAACTGAACAATGTTTCGATTCCCGCGACTATATCGGGTCGTATTCTTAGAGGCAATGCTGATGCGCAAGCTCCGAGCAGGAATCTCGAGTCGCTTAAACTCCCTAGCGTGTTCTTAGGCTTTATCTTTCAGAGGGTATCATCTGCCGAGCGTGACAATCGGAGACACGAGCGTTCACTGCCACCAGAGGCACCCCCAAGCATGCAGCGTCGGTGGTTCAGTGGTAGAATACTCGCCTGCCACGCGGGTGGCCCGGGTTCGATTCCCGGCCGACGCAAATTTTTTTTTTCATCTTTCGTCCTTGATTGGGCTCTGTACGCGAAGTCTTTTCTTTTCCCCTCAACTCTGGATTCGCTCGCTCACGTATTTTCCCGTCCGAAAACGGACGGGAAGTCAAAAGTCGTACGATTCACAGCTCGGAAGCGGACCCCTACACAAGGAACAGCTGTCTGAGAGCCTTTTACACCGACGAGCATCGAAGGAGCTCAGAAGGAAACAACGCTATCTATAACTCACGTCCGAAAGTTTTCATGATCGTTCGAGACATATTAAATGCCTCCGTGGACACTGTGTTGCCGTAAACGAAAGCTTCGACGGTCGACTCCTTCTTCAAGATGTGTAAAAACTCCTGGGCACTTTCAATCGTACAGTTGGAGAGAGCGTCGAGACGCTCCTCAAACGTGAAGTAGTTTTCCAAAAGATACGGTTCCATGAATCGTCCGACTTTTTGTAGCGCCACCTGCCGATCGCTGATCGCTACCCGGAGTTCGTTTTCGTAAGCCAGTTTCAAACGGTCGAATTCTTCTCGCCGTGCGTCAACTCTAAAGCCACCGAATCGTCCCAGATAATCTCGGAGCAAGTAGTGCACTTGGGAATGGTGACCTTCGAGTTGCAGACCGATACCGCCGTTCTGATGACTTAGGTCGAAACTGAACCCAGCCAGGTGGGCATTGTAGAAGTACTCTGTAACAGCATCCTTGTAGACTCGTATGAGCATCTCAAGGTTGACGTGATTCAGCGCCGACGCTGTCATCATTGGGTGTCTCACGTTGAGATGCACAACGGTCCAAGGAACGTTAAACGATTTGTCCTGCATGAACCACATGTGGAAAGACGGTTTATTCACGACGAGTTTCGGTATGCAAGAATAGTGGTCTTCGTGCTTGGCCATAGAAAAATCTCTCGGTATGTATTCGTTTTTCGCGGGCAGTTTGAAAGCCGGGTTGCTGATGGGGTCCTGCCAAGCCTGGATCTTGGCCTGTCGGATCCTCTCAACGCTGAACTTTATCCTGTAGTGGTGTTCCTCCTTGTCGGTCTGGTTCTTGAATTCCCAGGACACGAGGGTCACCCGCATGCGTGGCGGAACGATGTAGTCCATGATTTCTGAGATCAGCTTCGCGTCGTATTCGAAGAACAAGTTCGGTCCCGCCAGAACGTCTCTCCAACGGTAGACGGACACATGGCGGCAGATCGGAACCATGAAAGAGGTCTGCGGCACTTTCTGCTTGTAGCGGAACATGATGTCGTAGATTTTGGCGATTTCATCGTACAACCATCGTTGCGGGCCTTCTCTCCTGAGCATTTTAACGTACTCGAAGAACGCTGTGATGATCTCGTCGACGTGGCCCAGACCCTCTTTCGAGAGCTTCATTTTCACCTCGAGCAGCGACAGTCCCGGCGTTTCGTCTTTTGTGTGTGCTTCAAGATGCAGGACCCATCCTTTTTTGTGCAGATACGAAAAGAGGCTGCCCTCGGCCTCGTGGCCTATCACCGTCGCGAGATAGGTTTCGGGTTTTTGTCGGTAGTACTGAATGAGGTCGGGCAGGGGGAAAACTAGCCTCATCGAGGTGATGTCTTCGATGGGTACGATCTTTATCAAAACACCGAGATGCTCTTCCGTGTAAGGCGATTTCCATTTGGGCATCACGGTCCCTTTATCGTCCAGCGACGACAGGGCCACCGCAGCCAGTCTCTCCAACTCCGGGAGCGAGTGTCGGGAAACGATCACCGCGCTCATGAGATTGGCTGAATAATATTCGTCGACGAATTTCTTCACGGCATTCTGCAGCGTAAAGTTTTTCAGCGAGGTCGCCTCTCTGAGACTCTCGACGTTACCGTTGGTGAATTTGCTGTTGTCGTGCTCGCTGTCGGCAGTGATCTCGTCGACCCTTTCTTGACGGACCATGTCGTCTTCAGATGACTCCCGGAACTCGTTATCAATGGCAATAAGCTCCCGATCGATGTGAGACTCGTCGATGACTGGCTCTTCGAAAGCCGCCACAAATATGTCGAGCGACTGCTCTAAGTAGTCGGGGTTGATGTCGTAGAAATAGCAGGTCGCCGACTTGTACGTGTGGGCATTTGGGAACGTTCCGTGCTTTGTAATGAAAGCGTCGAGTGCGTTCTCCCCGGGGAATCGTTTGCTCCCCATGAAGATCATGTGCTCGGTAAAGTGCGCCAGGCCGTGCAAATTCCACGGGTCGGACAGTGAGCCGACACCGTTTACGCACAGGAGCACATGAGCCATTTCGGCTTTCGTGTCGCTGCCGAGAAGGATACGCATTCGGTTTTTCAGCTCCATGCCTTCGTACTCGATGGAGTCCGCTTGCGGCTTGATGATATCGCGTGTGGTGAGCACTATGGAACTGTGCGGGTACGAGCCTCTGCCCATCAGAATCGGTAGAAGGAAATTCGCGAAAAGTACTGCGATCAGGCTCAGAGCCACAACGATCGCGATTGTCACAAACGGTAAAAGACATGCCGGTCTCGAGCGCGGGGGGTCCATTTCAAGCTGCGACACGGTCCCTAGCTGGGCCATTCCGGATCTTTCTCGTTAAGATGGACGGCGATGATTCGAAAGTTCGTGATGACGGGGTCGGGGTTCGGCCGAGCTCCGGAGATCGCTTCCGACCAGTGGCTTTTCACCGGTTCTGGAGCGACTTCGGAACGGAAAGGAACAAAAGGAGATCGAATACGAACAACTGCCGACAGACGCACAGACACATGGACAGGTGTGGTGGGGAGGTACGAGTCCTCAGACGCTCCGAAGTCCTAGGGGGAATTCCCCAACATGGCAGTTTGCTCGTCTCGCTGGCTGACACCTGTTGGCCTTTTCGCTGCTGCTGCTGCTGCTACTGCACTCTAACGAGAGCAGCCACACATGAGCAGGATGCTGGGTGTACGAGGTGGTCGTCGTCACGTTGACGCCGACGTTGTTGTTGGTGCTGCTGCTGTTGTTTAGCTCGATGGATCACATGGGAAACTGATGGAGCTGATCAGATCGACTCAAGGAAGCACTCGACCGGAGATGTCTTCTCGTACGTTGGAGGACATCCACCAACAACCGGTGGTCGACCACAGGCTCCCAATCCAAAACAAAGAAGCGCTCGGAGCACTCCGCTCTCGTTGCCGCCGGTGCTAGCTCTCAATCAAAAAGCGGAGGGACCGGTGGAGGGCCTCTGAGGACGGACAGCACTCTCCCTTCCTTTTGAGGGACTCTCCTACGCCTCTTTCTCCAACGTTTGCGCTGAAAAAGGAATTTGAAGCGACCTCGGTCGCGTTAGCGAACTGAACAAGCAGCTCTGAAAAACATACAAACTCGCCGGCGGCCGAAACCGACAAAGAAACGGCGGCCACAGAAGGAACGGCGGCCACAGAAGGAACGGAACGCCGAAAGTATTCCTTTCGACGACTCGGGCCCCAGGTGAAGATTGGCGCCGATTCGCTCGCTCGTCCACTCACTCTGTCATTCAAACTCGCACAACAACAACAAGTGGTCTTGCACCCCAGTCCTGTCGCCTCTTCGCTCAGCCACGTACATTCGCTCGATTGCTCCCCTTTTGCCCGGGACAACGACAGACCACAGATTCCCAGACGAGCAATTCCCTCCTCGCCCGACGTTTCGCATTCACTCCACTTCACGCAGATCCTATGCAGTCTCCGAGCGTTGCATTGTTTGCATCGCTTGCCTGCTTTCTTTCTGTTGCTGGTCGGGTATTTTTCCCCCTCTAGCGACGAAAACCTCGATTTGCTCCCTTCGCCCCGGGTGTCCTGGAGAGAATCTCGGATGTGTCTCCAAGATTATTAGGTGCGCACAAACGATCGCTGAGCTGTTCTTGCCGGTCTACTGAGCTACCGAGAGATTCCGAGAATTGACGGAGCAAGTTCCCGTCCCTTGAGTAGTCTGTCAACCTCGATATTCATCACCGACGACTATGTCCAGCAATCGAGGACTCCCGCACTTCATTACGAGTGGAAATACGCAGGTTCTCATCTGAACTTGAGACATCACCGTGAGACATTTCTCTGACTATGCCCGACACGTAAGACGTCGTTAGTCAGCGATTTCGAGCTCGTTCAGCCTTCGAGGGCCGTTACGTTCGACGACATGATCACTCAACAAGGCTCGCCCTACAGGATCGCATGGTCATCGTTTCCGATTACTTTACGTTCTTTCATGTGATGAATGAACCATCGGATCTTTGTCAGTTGCGATATTATCTAGTTCCAAGCATTCTGATCCCGAAAAGATGCGAGCCCGGTTATCGAGTGGTGAACTTCGAAACCTCGGAAATCACCATACGAATCCTCTCGCGTGGAATAGGATTTCATGGTTGAGTCTCGCGTCAGATGATTACTATGATCACCGTCCCCGCAGCGCTCCGGATGTCAACATCGATATATTTGTACTGGCCCCGGCGCCGCCGTCCAAATACGCGAGGACCGCTCTCGTTCGATATGGCTTCGATCGCCCTCAAATTCAGACAAAGAGCCGGAAATTTTCATTCATAACAACGTTCGCGTAACAGGACCGCGATCCAAATGTCAAGAGTTCACCAATAACGGCAGCCGGCTGGTCGCGGGTGTGAGAATCTCTCGCATGATTCGAAACGCTGGGAGCGGAGTCTTCTACTCCAGCGAGTCGTTGGACTGAACGCGTACATCCACACAGAGCCAAGTTGAGAAACTGTTTGAGCGACCAAATAGATAGTTGTTTGATGAAACTGGCTCGGCTGGGACACCGTGTTCGCGGCCCGGGTCTTCAATCAGCGGAAAATTGTGGGAAACGCAATCTTGGGAATGCTTGTCTGAGCCAAGGAAGACGACTTTCTGCGACTCAGTCCTGAGCGTCTGCCCCGTCCGAGTCTCTGATTCCTTGGTTGAAACACCTCGAAGGGAGAAAAAGAGTAAAGTACAGGTACAACGGGACTTGCCGTCTCGCCAGCCCTCCGTGCCCTTGATCTTCGAGCCCCGTTCTGATTTGCCCATGATGCGACTGCGGTGAGCTGTGGAGCTCCATCGAGCTGGCATCGAGATGCTCCCATGATGCGGACGCAGAAATTCGCCCGAGTAACTTATTTTCGCGAAGCAAGCGCGAGCTTCTAGATTATGCGCAGGGTATCCAGGGAAATCAAGTCCTGAGCTCGATTCACAGCGCGAGCGTTCGACAAGTGGTCATGTATTCATGGGAACATACGGCGACCAGCGAATCTTCGCGGGCAAGATCAGGAACAGCCGTCAGGAGTGGGAGCTGGAGTTCCAAATCATCCATCGAATGACGGGAATAGGCACACCCAGACACAAACGAAGCAACCTCCAGAGATAGGGCGGGCTCGACAGGTTATGCAGCAGAGGACCCGATGAGATGCGCACCGAGTCGAGCGTTGAAACGTTGCCTTCGGGAACGGGGAATCGGGACGGCGCTCTAGGCTCGAATCATGAATGAGAAACACGTCGAGGGCGCCAGTCAGCGCGAGGATGCCCTTATTCATGACGGATGGAATGAGTGATCAGTTTCAGAATGGCTCAATCGAATCAGAATTGTTTATGCATGATGTATCGAGACATCGCGGACTTCGATACGGCCAGGGAAGATATGACACTCTCCTGATTCCGAGAGCCCGGGACAGTCCTCACGGCTCGAATGCACAGTCGGAATTATCAAGATGGGATGTTAGTGGACCCGGGATCTCAGACGAGGCTTGCTTGTCGAGTTACGTGACAGATGCGCTATGAACGCGAAAGTTTTCTTGCGGTTTGGGTAGGTAGCTGAGTCGATGGGAGTTCCCAAATTCTCTGCAGCGGGGATTTCAAGAAGCAGTCACGTCGACCGTGAACAAAACAACAATGGATGGTCAAGCGACATCTATTGACGGGAATCTTCTCCAAGACAAAACTTGTACTACTCGCGTGCAAGGTAGCCAAGTTCGGTGTAGCCGGAGCGTTCGGACGAAGCATCCAGAAGTAATAGAGTCCTTCTTCCAGTACACAAAAGAAGATATTTCCCGAAGAAGTTACGCAAATTCTGTCGTTGGATCCCGTTTCATTGAAACCCAAAGAAAAAAAACATCATTGAATCATACCAGAATCGAGACGAAGTGCTGAAGTCACACATTTCACCGTCATCTGGGACGACTTATAAAGATCCCCGGGAAGGAGCTGTCTTCATGGGCGACGAGCATTTTCCCGAAAATCGCAAAAAATCGAGGACGAGAGCGACGCTTTATGCAAGCCAAAAAAAACGGATCCGTTCTTAAACGGGTATCGAATAATGTGCAAAATGAATGATTCAAGACATAACCGATTGACCCGGTGACTCTTCAAACAACCAGAAAGCTTTGTCCGTACCTTGCTGTATACAGACGTCGGTGATCGATGCGTTTTTACTCATTGACACCTATCCCACTGGTCATGTACCTACGATGAGATTTTTCGCAACATCGACGAAGCGTTCGGTCGATACAACGGAATTTCGAAATCCCAGCTGGAAACTCGTGAAGCATCTTGTCAAAAGCGACATCTACGCTAAAAGTCCGGTCAAGCCTTCGATTTACTCGATAGTTGGCTTGCCTCCCTGATAGTTCATCTTGACTCTGGGAGCAGAGAGGCTTGACCCTTTTCGTTTCCCGACGGGATCACCAGTATTTCAAGAGAAAAAAAATTCGTTTCGATTTGTCTTCAAGCTATGCAGCGACATGTACCATCAGAAACCAAATCTTGGGGGGGGGGTTGAGCTTCGGAAACGAGAAATCTCCTGAGAATGACTTTGTTGGTCAAAGGTATGGGTGGACCAATCGTCGAGGCGGGCCCACGATTGTCGCTCTTCAAGAACTTCAATTGTTCTCCGCAAGATTCTGATCGGATGATGGGAGCCTTCGGCGCATTGGACGCGGTATCAGTGCTTGAATTACGAGGAACTGTCGAGGAAGGACTTTCGTCGATTTTGCCGTGACTCTGCGGTTCGAATCTAGTGTTTTCTATCGTGACTGTCAACAGCGACTAGCCTTGGCAGGACCTGATTGTTTCCAATGACCTATTAGCGCCGAAAAATCATTGAGCAATCGGGCATCCCCGACTGCAAATTGATGTTCTCTTTGTCCGCCGTCGAAATCTTCGGCTGCTCGAATCGCCAGAAGTGGCTTCCCGAACCTCGATACTCCCTCAGGACGCTGAAGAGCTATTCCTGATCTTTCCCTTACATTTCAAGTGATTCCCTCCGGCCGGACACAGCAGATTCGGTGGAATTTTTGTGACACCGAGCGGATGAAGAAACATACCGAATGTGTCTTTATCGCATGCTACTAAAAAATATATTTCAGTAAAAGAAAAAAAACGACCACTGATCATCAGTAGCGGTTCTGTGGCACGATGAAGTTGTTGCAAGAAGATTGTCGTGGTATAAATCACAGCCTATTATCCCCCGAATAAAAAGAAATCCATTTTGGCTGACGGTTAGTGATCGTCTCCGTCGCGCGAACAATATTCGGAATCACCTGTTTATGATGAACGAGCTAATAATGGTGGTTCGCTGCTCGAGCGCGGGCGATGCATCGTCGCGACATTTGACATCCGTTTCGCAAAACCCGCAATCATAGTCAGCAAAGCTCGGCAACGGGTCAGTCAGACCCGGGCCGGGAACCAGTCGGCGGCAGCGGCAGTGGTCGCTACAACTTTTGGTTAGTGGTCAAAAGACTTCGGGAAGATACACTAGAGGCAAAACGCTTTCTCATTCCATTCTGCCATGTCAGTATTTCCCCTATGACTGGCAGATGTCCTTGTCGATGTTCAATAACGAGCTCATGAGGGGTCTCCTCCGATTATGAGAAACTTTAATGAAACATCGACGGCCGGAAACGTTCAGTGCCGGTTATGTCAGAGAAACTATGACGATTGGGAGCGTGAGACATCGCCTTCAGAGTGCTCACGGGACTTTCCATTCGACAAGATCTCATGACACAGATACTCTTCGAACGCCGCGGGAAAGCGAAATCCGTAAGATGCGCGGCGATCAGCATGAGCTGAGGTTCGGCCTCTCAGCTGTAGAGAGCGTCGATACGTCAGAGCAGCTTTCTTCGCCGGTGCCGCCCGTCTCGCTAGATCTCAGCGGTTGCTGTTGCTCATACTGAGTGTTTATGCGTCTCTGATTCCCTCATCTCGTCGCGAGACCGCCGAATCATTTCGAAGTTTTCCGTCTCCGCCTGTCCAGACCAAAAATATTCTATCGTCTCGTTCAGATGCATAGAGTGACTTCTCCGTGGTGCATTTGGCTCCGGATTTTCATTCGCCAACGCACGTGGTTTCCGGATCATGAGGCGCCTCTTGCTGACTTCATCGAAGCCTTACGTCGAGCTGGCTAAAACTCGGCGAGACACTCAAGCAGGAGTTTGCCCCTTCGCTTCGAGGGGAATCGACGCGCGACACTCCGGGGAGACTCTCGCTCCCAGGCCTGCGGATAATTCCTACTCTAGAATCGTGTTCCCTCGCTATTTATTGCGGGCATTCCAGATCTAGAGTCTGGACGATGGATTTCAGGATACCAAGGCGGGAAACAGGGCGACAGACGGATCAGTATGTAGAGGAAAAAATATCCTGTGAGCAGGAACCGAGACAGCTCGAGCGACTTCATTCCATGAGGAGATCAGGATCAGGAGACTTTCCAGTTCCTTCACAACTTGGGTCGATGATTCCCTTCGGATTGCCAAACATCTCCGCATGTCCGTTCTTCCCTCAGAGCTCGTCCCCCCTCGAAAGTCGCCGTGTGAGCGGTTGAGGTACCACTGATTCGGAGCTTTCTGTCTCCCGGAAATTCTCTTGTAGAGTTGGACTTTTCCCGAGAAGAGCAGTTGCCCCTATTCAGCTTCTTTCCTGCCTCGATAGCCGGGAGAATATCCGAAGATTGTGAGAAGCCGATTCCCATCCTAACCAATTGGACTCTTGTTTAGATGAATTGAAATCACACTTTGATGTCGCGTTTGAGGACGAGGGGGCATCGACCCACAGCGTTTAAGCCGAACGGAAGCGAGTTTATCCTAAGAAAAAAACGTGCATCGGCCGGGAAAAGCGTCGACGGAGTTCCGCTCTCGAGCGAACGCAAGCCCTCCATCATGTGGTTGCACCATGAGAATGGAGGAATTCTTGAAGATGATTGAGGCGCTTGAAAACATCGAGCGCCAGCCACTTCGGTTTGCTGCGAAATCGAGTCAAAGTAATCGAGAGTCGGCGGACCGCAGCTCGAATATGACCGGACATGTGATAGGTACAGACGATGAGAGCTAAGGGAAGGCCATCCCATCTTAGCAAAAGCAATTAACATAGTAATTACCCTCGATGACATGATCGGAAGATCCGTGATCACGAGTGAAAATCAATGATGAGCCCACGCAGAAAGGTTAACAGGAAGCTACAATACCTGCAATCACTTCCAATGAATTGTCTGGAGGGAAGTTACGCGTATGAATATAAAATATTTCACTTTATTGTAACTGAACATCTTCCGGCCGGGGATGGTAAACAGCGGTACGCTGTCGACCGGAAAGCTCCGCATGCGGCGCTCTCCGAGCCGTTTACCTAAATCAGACTTGGCTAATGGACGATCGGACCAATTAATCGCCTGTTTGTCACTTCTCACGGGAAGTACATATTTGGAAGCAGGATCCCGCATCGATCTATCGGATTTGAGTATCATGGTGGAGAACTTCGATCTCTGCCTTATTGCCGGCCTCGGCACACTTCGAGTTAGCATATATCGTCCCAGAGAGAATTCAGGATAGCTTCACGATATCTCACAGCTCCTCCTTTGGTTTGCTTTTCGAGTATTTTCCGTGATACGGTTTATTTTCTAGCGTTATTTGCTCAAAACCTTCCTGTTCGACGAGGAAGTCCTTCGCATCCCAGGCCTGCGAACCGTCTTTGAACATGAAAATGAATCTCTCGTCCGAGATCAGGTATCGTTCGGCTTGAATGTGGTTATTGTGGAGCGCGGTTTGCCACAGCGATGATAATTCTTCTGTACGTTCCCTTGTCGTCGGAAGTGTGACAGTGCAGAAAGACATGAGAGTTTGACCTGTTAGAGGAGGAGTCGGTTTTACGAAATAATCCTCCTTACAAAATCTCCCAATCATCGTGAAGTTCGCGATCGCGCAAGACTCGAGAGTGCCCTTCATAACACCCCGTTTCGCAACCCTGGGCTTTTCTGGATTAGTTCCTACGATGGACTAGCACGAACCTTTTTTGCTCATTCTCAGCATGGCTTCCGGATTTTCAGGATCGAATTTGCTCATGTCGATTTTCGGTGGTGGTCTCTTGTGTTCGGGGAGTTCATCCTCCGGAACGTCTTCGTCCTCATCCCATTGCTCGAGGAGCCGCTCGACGTCAGCGTCCGAGAAATGTATGGGGTCCTTCTTTGCCCAATCAGGTTTTTCAGCAGCTTTTTTGCATCTTACGACTCCGGCAGTAATCGTGAGCACGAGCAGCAATAGCCGTAAGCTGGACGCTGTCAAAGCACCCATCCGGTGCTTGAGATATTCCGAATTTCTGCCGACACTGAACGACGCTTTCGGCGTCGTGATCCACACCTGATTGTCTCCCTGAAAAGAACGTGAAAAAATGGAGATTGAATCGAAGCCAATCTCACAATCGATGAAGTTATTCGACAGTCTGCACGGTAGAGCGACGAGACCGCAGCGAACTGTGGCGATCGGGAAATCGCAGCCATCAAACTTTGGAAAGCCGCCTGAGTAATTGAGGATGAATGGGCGAACGAAAGTGATAACAATGTACGTCTTCGGGAAATAACAACGGAATTGAGAGAAAAAAACAAATAACTGATGGACACTGTCAGTTCACGGCTGAGAGCCTTGTTTCCAGATCCTAATCTGCACCAGTAGCGCCAAATCGAAATATCGTACTATTCCAAATCCTCTTTCGACATCGATGTTGCCGTGAAGATGACCCGAGGGACAAGTGCTGGACCATACATATTTCTTGTGAATTGGTTTTCCTCAATCGGACCGTATTTCGACTGTTGTTTTCAGAGAAAACCCGAGACATCGCTCTTGGTTCTCCTTCTCAAGCACAAATCGAACTTTTCATGCAAACGAAGATGTTTCTCACGGTACTCAGCCGCAACCCGGGCTCGTATTGTAGTAGGAGATCAAGTGGTCGACGGTCAAGACCGGCGCGGGAACTCTCTCTGTCGACCGGAGGAATGTCAATACTGAGCTGCGATGAACGCACATCACTGCTGACCGTTGATTGCCTCGCCGTTTCGGAAGGACGGAGCTTTGATTCCAATTAAACAGCCATAGTCCACTAAGCAGCGTCTACCTCCAGCCATGACAAATGAAAACACACGCTGTTGCGTCACCTTTCACATGAGTTGATTTCGGAGTGATTCCCCGAAATCGATTTTCTCGGGTTCGAATCAATGCAATCCGAGGGATAATCCTACGATATCGCGTCCCGATCCCCCCTCGAGTGCTGCGTGGAGATTGGTTCTCTTGAGGAGCTTTCGAACATCAATCGTGGCACCAGGAGTTGAAAATAAAGCTCACCGATTCGGTCGACCATGGGGAACCCCAAGACAAGTCAGGTATGATCTCGTGAAAAACTTTTGAGCTTTGTCAAATGATGCCATCACGGCTGAGAAATGACGCGTGGGTTCTTAGTGTTCCTCGAAGGAAAGCTTTGTCTATCAACCGACAGATCTGTGAGGCGGACCGACTATTTGTGTTGTTAGCGTTCATTATCTTGTTCATTAGCGGTCACCGTCTCTTCTCGAGGTGAAGATCACGTTCCACATCGGACTCGTAAGAAGTAGGTATTCAGTCAATGGTAGTGTTCTTCGGTGTCGTTACCGTTCACTAACTAGGTCCCATGATAAAGAGGCTCAAGACGTGACCGTGCCACAAGATAAGGAAGATGTGGTTCTATCTGGAGCCGGTCTCCCGGGTAGCTGCGCACGGATTGGGGGCGGTCCGCACCAGGCGTCGTTTTTCGAGGGGCGGTATTTCGGACTTTGGCACTAAAGAAAATGGTGATTTTCTTGAAAAACTACGACATTCCGCTCCGTTGAGGGAAAACTCTTTGTCAATATACGCCCCTCGGCGGATTCGAAAGACAAAAATTCCCGATCACCGCCCTGGAGCCGTCCGGGGGTTGCCCACCATTGCGCCGGCGAATTATTTCATGCAACTCTCTTCATTCGTTCGTCAATGAGGAGTTGTTCAAGCTTGAGTCTCGCAGGCTCATGGTGAATAGCCGATGCCTCAAGGTTCGACTTCCCCCCCCCCCCCCCGCTTCAAGCAAGCACGACACATGTATATGTATGCCGCGTTGCCTTCCATGGCCACGAATATTATGTAGATGGAACAGAGGCTTCAGCGAAGCGATTAAGGATGATGTAATATCGGATTCTGGAAGTTCCTGACGTCCGCGATCCGGAGAATCGGAGGACCGAAAGACAGTCCCCCTAATCGAAGAATGCTCTTTGCTAAACTGCTAGCAACACACTTCTTCCCGTACGGCCCCGCTACCATCGAGGAGGGCGTATCTGATTTATATTCCATGCTCGTTACAATTTATTCCGAAGTCATCCCATGTTCATGAACGATCGAGCTAGAACGGCGGCTCAGATTGGAATATGGTACCATCTTTGTGCAGAGGCAGGTGAAGTCATTCGAGGATTGCACGACCGACAGTAGCGAGATGTTCGTGCCCCGGGTTTCATTTTGCCAGGAAAAAAGTTACTACAGCCAGTGTCCGCCTCGGGATTAGAAGATCAGTCGCAGCACTTAAAAGCTCCGAGAATGAAGCGAAACGAACCTTCTGATTGAGTCGAGTGTCACGCTCTGTGTCACCCTGGAGGAAGGATCCTGGACTTCTGTTCGAGCCGGCTGTTTCTCCGTGGGAGAAGTCTCATCAGATGTTCGATTCCTCTCCGATCGGAGTTTGATGCCGCACACAGGATGAAGGAATCGCTCGTTTCTGGGATTGGCGCGAACAACGGGCTCTTCGAAGGGAGACGTTGCCTGAGGATGCCGCAAACACAACGGGAGAAGATACGGAGTGGTCGTTTGGAGCGATTGGGATTTGCCCCGTTTCTGATAAAAGAGATAGGGATCGCGATTATCCCAAATCATCTACGAATTCTCGAACAAGTTCAGATAACGAGCCCATCCTGCCTGGCCTCAAACCTCTGAACTCCTCCCAGCGAATTCCCGATTGGTATATTATCACACGGGCTGTGTGATAGAATCTCTTAGAATGCATGACGAAGAGATATACATTCAGCTGCAGAACTCATGATTGTGCGTCGGTCATCCGTATGTGCATCCATCCCTATGTTGTGGGTCATCGTCGCTGCTCGGGAATTTTCTGGATCGTCGTCAGCCGTTCGACGCTCTCGCGTCTCCAAAAGCTTCCACGATGCCTCAGCGTCGGCAAGCTCGGAAATGATTCGCCGTCTGGGCAAGGAGATACACCAGTCTGTCTGTTGTCAAGCGATGTCGCGTTCATGTCCTCGAGAATTGAATGTTCCCATTCGATTTGATCCCACCTGCTTCAAGATCACACTTGCGGTAAAATTGAGATCTGTACAGTCGATCGATTCGAGATCTCATCATTCTGTGGATGGACAGGATGGGACTGTCTACGCTGTCCGATCGTCGGCAGGATGAAGGTCGCCAGACGGATCAGGTAACCCGATACCGAGCTTCACGTCCCTGACGTGGGTCACGCGAGGATTCGGAAGAACCGCGAGTTGTGCTAAAGGCAGAGCTTAAGGCGCTGTTGTCTTAAGCGAAGCTTATCGCACTCGCCAGCCGGGATTGGGAAAGGGCCCGAACATGCATTTTCGCGGAAGACTGAGTTGCGTCTCGCGCTCTTCCATCGCTCGACTACTCCACGGCGTAACCTCATATCGTTCGCTTCGATTACCCTCATATCGATGAACAGAGGAATAAAGTTCCCGATTCCGAGGCCTGAGAAATGGGCTGAATATCCGCGAGGTCAATCAACCATCAGTTTAACTCCTAACCTCCGCATATTCGGCCAAACATGGAGGCGACTGTCCTTTTGACATAAAATTCCGACGGGCGGTAGACCACCGTGGTGGCCGCGGCTGGTTATTTCCGACATCGATAATTGACGATCAAATGCAAATGATGCGAGCTGGCGCTCGCGGACGGGCCATCTGCGGACCGTCGCTCTAATGAGTCAGTAAGAATGCCAGTGTGTTCGCAAGAGATTTATGCAGGAAAACCACCGTGCAGCCGACGCATTCGCGACCGCCGCCTCCTTGAGAAATCGCGCGATGGCTTTAGTACGCCAATGCGAGGTCACATTGTTCCTGAGTCGGAACATCCTTTCGGCACGTGGAGAAGTGAGTGAATTCGAACCATGCTCCTCCGTACAACCATTGGACGTGACAAGTTCTCAAAAACTCAAGTCACAGACTGAGCGCGAACGAATGCAGGCATACAAAGACGCGATTTTAACCTCACTCGACAGGTGTGATGCAATTCGTTGAAAAGAGTTGATGCGATCCGCAGCCTGTCTGCTGAGAATCTAGCGCAACTCTAACAATCACTTGCATTCCACTTGCAATAATTTGGGGAGGGTAAGCTTGACGGCAACCGGTTATGAGCTGGGATAGATGACTAAAAGAAGCTTATTCTCAGTGTGACGGTGCCTCTCCGAACGGGCACTGACAGGCTGTCCGAAGCTGGCAGCAATTCCCTGTCTCGAGGAAAAAAAAATCATGAAGTCTGCGTGACACTGTCTGACGGCGCTTCCAATAGCATCATCGTCTTGCGGTCGGCTCGCCTGATTAGCGAATGAGTTCCCCGGCTCTAGGAGCGCTCAGAAGCCGGGGTTCGTGTCACATCCTTGTCAAACAAGCGTATCAATCGGATCCGCTGGAGAAGCGACGAATCTGCCCCGGCGTGGTCATCCTTCAACCGCTAGCGAGTGATGTCATCTTTTTCGATTTTTTCTTGAAAAGGAAACATTCACGAGACGAGCACGGGCATGACTGGGCTTCCGAGGGAAGAAAGAGCGAAAGCACTGAAGTGCAGAGGTCACTTCGGTCAAAACTTAATCTGGCTGTTTTGCTCGTGGCTTCAATGAATGGCTTCACTACTGTAGAGACGAATGACTGTGGTGTTTTCGACGAGAAGACTGCTTCACTGACTGTGATCTCAACCTGTGTACATAAGGATCCTCGCCGAGCATGGCACGAGCTGAGCGGCTCTTAGAATCTTGACTCACGTCGGTTGGGAGGCACGCGAGGAAGAAAGGAGTACTACACAAAAAGAGCTACACAACAGTTCCAGCGACATTCTCTCTCTTTCTTTGGTGCTCTTTTCTCTCACGCTGCGTGTTTGCCTGCGATGGCACACAACCACTTATGATATTCCGACCTTTTGACATCGAAAGACCAAAATTATTGTGGCCGATTCGACGATTTTTCAGGGAGAAAAGGGAAAAAATCCAAACGGACTGAAGCAAGCGACATTGCAGACAAGCTCATTCTTTGCGTTGGCGGCGGCGGCGTTCATAAACCTTTAACGACCGAAAATGAATCAGCTAACAGTGGCAAGCGCGTTCTCGACACTAGGTTCGATATCATCAGCTGCTATAATTAGGTAGACACTTCGCGACAAAGTTCTCCGCAACCTCTGGACAGTCCGGAGCAGGGAGCCTGTCTATCCCCAGAATCAGGCATTCCTAACGAATCAAAACCGACAATATCCTCCGAGTGACCAAGAGAACGCAATCGGGGTCGATTCTGCCCGCCTTATTGCTTTCGAGACTCGACGTATCCCACGCGACGCTTTCCGTGCATATTCAAAGTCCAGATGAAAGAATGTAATGCTGTCATATTGTATGGTGATGCGCATCGAGTTAACGCGCACAGCTCCGCATGGTCTCGTGGCGAAGAACAAACTTTGACAAGTGACTGGCAGACGACATTACATCTGCCAGACTATCATCTATTCAGTCGGTCGCGTGGTCGGTGGGTCAGTCATTTAGTGAGCCTAGAACAACTGCTATATATTGTCTGTGGCGCAACAGTTCTGATCTGCCCACGCTTGCCGTGCTGTCGTTCGTATCGATCCGACGGCTTCTTGACGCGTCGCTCAGAGTAGAGCTGATGACTGATGAGTAACCCATGTGAAAGTCAATCAGAGAGGATTTGCGGATTTAAGGAACACAATTAGATTTTTCAGGCGAAGAAACTCGTTTTCGGTCAAGAAAGGTTATCCACGAAAAAATTCGGTGAACCGGAAACTGAAACCTGGATTCGCAACAGTCCAATATCCGAATGATGCCCGGGGAATCGGGAAGACTACGACCCGCTGCCCGAGCAGAGGATGGAGGTATTGAACTCCATCTTCGGAAAACGGCTGATGAGCCCTATAAGCTTTGCCCCGGATCTTCTGTGACGCCAGATCGTGAAGCAACGGTGTCAGTCTTGTTGAAGCGATGATTGACATGCTCGCGATCGGATGTTTATCGATGTTTCTATTTTTACGGAAGATCTCTTTCAAACTTACACTGTGTGATCGCGGCTCAAGGTCCTTTTTGAGAAAACAATCTATGAAACATGATAAATCCCCGAGAAGACTCCTGTTTCGAGAATCAATACCACACCTGAATTGAATCAACACCTGCTGTCCGCTTCGAAAGCTTCGATTCGCGCTCTTTCTGGAAACCGGAATTCGACCCGGGCCCGAGCCGCCGTTTTTCTATTTCGACTCTCACGATCAGCAACGGTGGCGAGGATAGGTGAAAACCTTTCGAGCCAACAACAACAGCAGCGTCAGCAATAATTTAGTCGATCCGAGGTTCGTACAACTCCATAGCCATGGCACTATCAATACCACCTGCTGGCTCGCAAAGTACTCCATCTATCACTGGAGAGTCACAAAATTTACAGCCGTGTCGTTTTCCTACTAAAGATCAAGGTGTGCGATGTTAGTGCCGCTGTTAATGATCCCGGCAGGCGCCGATTAATAACGATGCTGATAACCCTCCCACCGTGTAACAATGATTCCGAATGGCATCATGCAATCAATGAGACATGAACCCGAGTCCCGGGATTTTCCAACAAGATCGTCCAGGAGAAATCGCTGACGGGACGCACCCGTAACAATTAATTACAGTACCGATCCAACTCTTCCTACGCAAATTGGCCGACAATCATTCGTCTCTGATTCCGATTGGTTCCCCCCCCACGACATGGCGGCGTGAGAGCGTTCCCCGGCCAGAAGAGGGATCCATCATGAATGGACACGATGTCGCTTCCGATTCGTCTCCCGAAAGGGCCGTCGAATCCCTCACTAGAAGTTCGGGAACGGGTCTGAGTTTGGTCCTTCCGCCTAGTTTTTAGCTATTTTCAAGTTTCCGATTTCTTTTTTACCTTCAGGTTGTTTGTTGTTCTCCCAAGCTATCGAGCCACGCTACTGGGGGAAAACGTATGCTTTTAAGTGTGTCTAGTATTTTTTCCTCCTCCTTGTACCCATTTGACCTCTTTATGACGGGTTAAATTGCGAACGATTCGAACAGTTTTTTAACGATCAGCGGCAACGGCTCTCCCTTTATCCCATTGTCGAATTCGTAAGGATGTAGGGCTTTCCGATGAGCGGAATACGAGCCACTCCGGATGCACTACCCTGTGTTTCGCACGTCGACGGAACTTGACAGCGAGCGAACGAAGCTCGAAGAATCCGGCGACTCCGGAGTTGTCCCCGTCGCTTGGCGGGGCTGGGAATCGACATGGGCCACCCAAAACAGGAGTGACTGTTTTCAACATTTATCACTACCGATCCAGGAATCGACCTCGGGAAAGCGGTTCGGGGAGCTTCCGCTGCAGGAGTTATTTTCCTTTGCGGTGAACGCTCCAGGCTCGTGGACCGAGCGGGAACCCAGAAAGCGCATGGGCCGGAACATTGAAGCGGTACCTTCTGTCGATGTTGAGAGAAATGTCCACGATCGGATGCTTGGGAGAAGCCTTAAATCGATTCTGACGCATCGTTCGAAGTCTATAGCTTGGCTATCAACGTGCTTGACGTAACGTAATTGAAGTGGAGAGTTGATCGATGGTCATCGGTGCGGAACCATAAATGGCGATCCGTAAGGAAACGAATAGTCGAAGGAAACCAATGAGTTTCAATATTTGCACTTTGTCGATGCAATCGGTGGGAGAACGAGTATGTAGTTTCTAGGATATGCGATCAAGCACCGCTTACACAATCGCTAAGTTGAATGCTTTGGGGACATGCATGCCATCGTGAAGTCGTATTCGAACCACATCTCGTCTTCGGACATGGACTTATCAAAACGGAAGAAATCAGACCACTCCGAAGCAGGTTCGCGTTGACGTGAGCGTCCGACTCTTCTCAGTTGGAGAACGAGACGAATTCTATCCACGAAGAAAACCTCCCCGACTCTCCGCGAGGGCTCACACTCGAACACGCTCGCAGGGTGCCGAATCCAACCGGCAGCTCATGTTCAGCTCGGTGTCTCGGGCTCTCGATTCTGTTGTGAAAGGCTTGGGCTATCCTTAACTTCCAGTGCGTTGTATTATTCATTTTGGAAGGCTCCGTCGTCCCCCCGCTACCGCAAGTTTGACCAGGCTGAGGCAACGGAACTATCGACGGGATTTTCGTAATTACCCAGATTCGATGAATGACTGAATCGGCTCGTTGGGCTGCTTTCACTCCCTGTCCACTTCCATCTGAGCAAACGGACAGCGGCTCCATCGGTCAGAGGGCGCTAGCCGTGAATGCGAATCGACAACAATTGATTCGTAATCGCTCGGCTACAAGAAAGCCTCCGAGGGAGATGAGCACGAGCCCGGAGCGCTGTTTCTCAACAAGTCCGAAGAAACTGCAGGAGCTCCGTTGAAAGCCCGAAGCAGTTTGTAAAGGTGGTGGCAGTCCCAGCCAGTCCATCATCAACGCCATCTTTAACATTAGCCATTGAAGTAGGAGAAGAAGCGGCAGCAGCAGCAGAGAAAAAGAAGACGACACCGACAAATAGAACGAGACGAGCTCTTACATAGCCCAGGACTTCTCGCTGGAGGAAAATGCTGCGCGATGTCGCCCCTTAGAAGTTGTAGGGCGCCTTTATTAAAGATACTTGACTAATCGACTCATGGCTCGGTGGACTCTCCCGTTCGTCGTCGGTTGCAGTGTCGGCTGCGACGCTTGACGACGTACCTACCCCTTCAAGGGTATTTCGTCATTTTCCGAATGCACATTTCAACTGCCCGGAGCGGACAAAAATCTCATGAACTCACGCACCAAGTGCGCCCGGATGAAAATCTTCCCTCGTTCCTCGTTACAACACACTCCGAAATTCGATCGTCGAGCGAGTCTTGTCGTGTGAGCGAGTGGGTTAAGGCGCGCGCGAAAGCCTCGTGCTCCTGGGCAGGCATGCGCTGCCGGTGACAAGGGCGCGTTTGAATTGTACGAGACGTGTCGACGTTGCGGGTTATAATGACATACATATGTACACGACGAGAACTCGGAGAGCGCGGCGGACACCGCAGGAGGGAAAAAGCGGAACAAGTCATCCCGTCACAAAGACGTCGTCATCTCGAGTTTTGTCGGCGGACCCGTCGACCGCCCCAGCGACCACTCCGCGCGATGGCTCGTCTGAGGGAGCCCGTGTGTTTTGGAGAAAGTAATCATTCGTTCCTCACTTAGATTGAAGTTTTTACATTCCTCTCCTCCGACTAGGTGGTATTAAAACGGAGGAAGCTCTGTCACCCCGTAAGTCCCGCTCACCCACTCACGCGCGAGCTTACCCGCTCGACTGCTCAGGTCTGCCTGAGCGAGAGAGTGAGTGAGTTGAGGAGTGTAACAGTCGAGTGTAATTACAAGAGACGGGAGGATTTTGCGGTGGCTTCAAATTTTTACTTTAATGAGGATCTTAATCCATCTGTCGTCGAGCGTTCAAATCCCTGAAGCCGGGACAATGGCAGCTCGACAGCCGGTCGGTCGGTCGGGCTGTCCGTCCCCCGTCTATCTTAGCCCATTTTTTTGTCTCTTCTCCCATCGTTGCATCGCGTTTCGTCGGTCGGTGTTTCCACCCATTTGCAGTCGCGCATGTAGAACCTTGATTTTCAAAATGGCTCAACTGAGAGAAAATGACAGGTCGACGTGTCGCCGTCATCTTCGTTGTTCGAAGAATGAAGATACAATGCCTGTGAAGAAGTTGAACGTGAATCAGTCACTGATCACTGACAGCTCCATCAAGCGGTCCAGCCTCATCGATCTGACTGTCGCTGCCCCCGGTTCACCCTGCGAGCAGAGATATATCGAAGCATTTATCGATCTATCTATTCGTTAAGAGCGCGTTCATCTTTCATGGACCCATCTGGGATTCTCACCACCTCGCGTCACAGCGGAGCGAGCCGGCTCCGTATCGCTCGGGAGAAGAGGGGAGAATACATGAATGTACGCCTGTTCATGTGGTCGTCATTGACAAGCCGCTCGTGTCTTTCAGGGATTCAGCGGAGGAAAAAGGGGAGTAGCGTTTCGTTCTCGGTTTCGGAGAATAACTGAGCGCGTTGTTGTTTCCCTGACTATTGTGAACGCCGTGGTTATCTCAGACTATTATTCGATGCTGGCTCCGTATGAAGACCCGGCTCGCATGTACCGCACGAGTCGTTGTGAAATTGGGTTTATCAGCCGAGTGCTAGGATACTAAGTTCAGCCTTTGTTTAAATGGTCATGATCCTCTCAACGGCCCACCAGGCAAACTTCGTGAGCGTGACGGATCCATAATCCACAGAACGATTCCAGCATGGTGCGAAGATCGCCAGAAATTCCGAAAACTCGGTGAAATTCCAGAATTCGGTCTCTCGTGATTCAAGGCAACTTGAATCATCAGAGGAAATTGATTGTTCTGGAGGTTGGATAGTTGCGAATATCCTAGTGAATGATCCCAGCTGACTGGGTACTTAGTGGAATGCAGTTCTTAGTCCTAGAGTCGAAAATCGGAGAGAATCTCCTGACGTGCGGAATTCAGCGAGAATGAGCTTCTCCTCGGCCGATGGCGTCGATAATTTTTTTTGGTTGTTGCGAAATCAACTCTACTCGAGGGATGAGAAATCGAGGATGAATTGGCCAAAACGAATTGTTTCCGAAAACGGTCGCGAAGAAGCCATTCCTGCAACCGTGGTGATTGTTGTTTGCACCACCATTGCTGCTCGGATCGAAAACGGATGCCGCATCAAAAGTTCATAAAAACTCGCTCGACGGCTACGGGAAAAGAAAAAGTCTGTTCTCGGGGAAGTCACTCGACGGGACGCGCACACCGCTCCTGATGGAGATCGAATCCAGTGATAAATTAGAAATTCCGATCAACTTCATTGCGCCCCATATTGGGACGTTCACAGAAAAGTAGCGACTTTCTCATCGATATATCGACCGCTCAGCTATCTGTTAAACACTCTCGTTCGTTTTCGGGTAAGCGAGTGAGAGAACATCAGTCGGAACTGACCGTTTTCCCTTGCCCCTGGGTGCTGGTCTGTCATCGGAATTCTCGCCCTCAGCCGGTGCTACCCCTTGACTCGCGCTCGGCGAGGGTGGGCGACCTGCGACCCGACAAGTGGCATCAAAAGCCCCGCGCAACTGTTGCTTGCCCCAAACCAAGTTGACCACCGGTGAACAGATAACTGTGCTCGGGATGAGAGTAAGTGTTCTCGAGATTAAGCACGATTCCAACTCCGGAGGATTATGAAATCGATCGGTTCCGCGCGGAACTTGTGGTTCGTGATAAGCTCTCAGTGGAAAACATCTCAGCTGTATTGTTTGTGGAAGTGAAGGGTGCCCGCGAGTCCGTCTATCACACTACATGGTCATTTCGTCAATGACTCCGGATCACTAGAGACTAGATATCCTTGTTTCGCGCAAAATCGATCCAGAGCATCCGTCAAGACGATGTCGTCTGATGACGTTACCCGGGCTGACTGTGGAACGGGTGCGACAGTACTTTGCTCGGTTATGATCCATCGAGGGAACGGGAGTCTCGTGTCAGAGACCTGAGCGAAGCTTCCCCCGAATTCTCAGAGCGTCAGTATCGACCGATCGGAGGGACTTTAAGGATAAAATCCAAGATCTATCGTGACAGCGACCTCACTGCTGCAAATCTGGATGCTCAATGATGCGCCTGCATCTCACCCGATATCGATCAATAGAACGCTGGAAGAGTGCGTTTCCGCCGAGCGATTGATTGCATTTTCGCGGATAAACAACGGACCGGCTATGTGACAAGTTCTGGGGGTCAGAGTGTCCACAAGGACTGTCATTGAGACGACGGCTCGCCAGATGTCACGAATGAGTGTTTTATATTCTTCCGAAACACCGAACTGATTGGTGTGAATGTTTCGCAGGCACAAATATTCGTAGTCGCCACGGCGTTGGCGGTCTCGCGCGCCGCAGAGAAAAAAGACGCAACGGATCTTCTGGCTCAGGAAAGCCAGCAAGGAGGAGGAGGGGGAGGAGGCGGCGGCGGCAACTGGTTCGATGTGATCCACAACGACGACCTATGGAATCGCAATATCAAAGACGGTCCCGCGAAGGAAATGCTTTTGCAGATAGAGAAGGCCCCGCACAAAGCTTTAGCCGGACCGCCTCCGAACGCTCGACCTCCATCAAACTACCTACCTCAAGGAAACGGATGGTCGAACAAACCTCCGGTATGGACCGAAACAAGATAGATCCGAATGTTATGAAATAAGTCATGAGGCGAAGCGATCGATATCGGAGCGACATTCATTGCTGTGACGATCGACTCTAATACTTTTGAATTCAGCAGCGTCCGCCACCGCAGCAGCAACAGGGATGGGACAATGGACCTTCGCCGAAACAGTTCGGCGGACACGGCGGTGGCGGTCAGTCTTGGCAATCGGGTCCCGGACCGCAGGGAGGGACCGGCGGGAAAAAAGTTGTCATCCTCGTTTCCATACCTAGCGGGCAAGAAGGCTCGCAGGTTGGAGGAGGCGGTGGAGGCGGACACCATCATAAGCAATCGGCTCCTCCGGTAGAGATGTCACAAGATATCGGGAACCAGCACAACAATGCCCCGGTCGTTTACGTCTCGGTCGATAAAGGAAGCCACGGTGCGTCCAACGGTGGATCAGGATGGCAGAACGGCGGGGGTCACGGTGGTGGACACGGAGGGGGTCACGGGGGTGGACACGGAGGGGGTCACGGAGGTGGACACGGAGGTGGACACGGAGGGGGTCACGGAGGCGGACACGGTGGGCACTCCGGTGGATACGGCGGTGGCCGACACTCGGGCGGCTTCTCAGGAGGACATTCCGGCGGAGGCGGCGGCGGTTTCGGTGGGGGACACCACTCGGGAGGCGGACTCGCGGGCGGCGTGCCGCGCAAAGTTGTCCTGTTGTTTGTGAGAGAAAAGGCTCAGGGTCCGCTCCAGGGAGGGAACGGAGGCGGCTGGATGCAGAGTGGCGGCTCCTTCGGGGGACGCGGAGGAGGCTACGGAGGACCAGTGCAGAATGACGGCTGGTCGAACAACGCCCCCCAGCAAAACAATGGGTGGACTCAGCAGCAAGGAGGCTTCTCGAAAACAGTTGGCGCGAGCTACAACGCCGCTGGACCGAAACAAGGTTGGAAGGCCGATCACCATCAGAACAATAACATGGGATATTTCAGCGGTCAGCCCGAAGTGATTAGGAATAAGATCCAAGTTCAGGGTTGGGACCGAAAGAATAACGACTTCCAAACAGGTTACAACAATAATGGGTGGGATCAAAAGCAAAAGCAATCCTGGAACAACCAGCAACCACCGCCACCTCCGCCGCCCGCTCCGAGACCCGGCGGTTACGCTCGTCCCACGGAACCCTTCGACGACGAATTACCGCTCCCGCCACCTCCAAAACCCAATAAGGACAACGGCGGCTGGCAACCGATAGTCAAGCCCGGAGGTTGGACTCCAGCTCCGACGGTCCCACCCAAAAAGAATAGAGATCCTGCTTACGCTCCGAACTTCGATAACGGAAACCGGGTCGACCAGACTGCTTTCAATGGCCATCATCAGCAGCAACAACATTACCAGCAACAAAACCACCATCAACAACAGAATTATCAGCAACAATCTCACTTCAATCAACAGCAGCAGTACCACAGTCATCATCAGCAGCATCAACAGCAGAACAACAATTATCATCATCAGCAACAGCAACAACATCATCAGCGACAGAATCCTTACCGCCCAGAAGAGCAATACAACAACCAACATCATCACCAGCAGCAGCAAAACCATCATCAGCAACATCACCATCAACAACAACAGCAGCATCATCATCATCAGCAGCAGCAACAACAGCACCATCATCAGCAACAACAGCAGCAACAACAGGGTAACGGTGGAAGCTACGGCAGACCCGTGGAGAACTTCGATCCGGAGGACCTCCCCGAGCCTGGATACGGAAGCCGCGTAGACAATCAACAGAGACCGGAAGCCTCGTGGAATCAACCTCCGCCAGCACGTGAGTTGTGAAGATGATTCCTCCACATTCTCGATAGTGCCCTCATCAATTGATCTATCGATCTATCAATCAGTCGATCGAATCGTTCTCAAAGTTTGATTCGTACAAGAGGAGATGGGAAACAGCGAATATATCTGTCTGCTGACAAGAGCTTCTATTTTGGAGCTTTTCCGAGTCACACGTCGCTTTATTTTCGTTAACAAGATCGTGGTGGAAATGTCGACGGGAACCGCAAAACATTATTAGCTCCCCGGTCCGCTGCCGTCCGTTCTATTATGTAACTGACCAGCGCGAGCAGTGAATCTTCACCCGTTCATTCATTCGGTCACTTGCTTCGACGCTCATTCGTTTGTTCACAAACGGCTAACCTTTGACACTTGACTTCAACAGCGGTCCCGGCTCCGCGCGTCCCTGAGAACGTGCCGATCCAGCAAACGACGAATCCCCCCGCCTACGGTCAGCATCCGAGGAGCATCCAAGACATCAAGAGCGCGCAGGGAGCACCCCAGCCGCCGAGAAAAGCATCCTCGTACTCGAATGACGACCTGCCCGAAATGCAGGAGTGGTCCCCGAAATACGCGGCCGCGGCCACGAACACCAATGACAAAGCGGCTTCGGTACCAGAGCAGAAGCCAACGAAGGAATTGAAGAAGGACCAGAAGACGGGCAGTCGATGATCCGTAATTCCTCGAACCCTTTTTAGTTCCAGAGCTGGACCTTCCGGTTCATTGCTTCTCTGCTAATTCCCACATCATCGAATCAAATAGTTTAAATCAATGTCTCTCGGGGCTGGCCCCGAATCGTGATCTAGGCGGCACGGCCTTCGGGAGTCGATTACTAAATTTAGTGGAAGAAAAAAAAATACTACGTAAAATGTATTTATGTATAACTGACCGACCCATCAACTCTCTACGGCTCTAAGGGATGGTCGTATTGAGCTCAACCCACCGAGACGGACAGATCTCCATAGTCGACGCGGTGTCTCTTCCTGAGGAGCCCGAGCTCAAAGAACGCTGCCCCGGAGAAGTCATCGGTGCGTGGTCATTATTTCGTCCCGAAACGAGTCGCGGCAGGTCGCTGTGACATCATAGCGCCCTCAGCGAAGGTCGCCCCGGGTCCCATGTCGACTGACTCAACTATGTATGTGTGGTCATCGCTTCTGACACTTGACCGCCGGCTGGCTGTGCGACCGTCTGTCGGACGGTCGAAATGAATGGAGGGGGAAGAATTGAACATTTACGGGCGACCAGCGACGGGTTTCCCACGTCTACCATCGCAACGTCGCATGCAATCTACACCCATCGAAGCATAAGCGAGCGATGTTCGAATCAGGTATTCGAGAGAAAGGGAAGATTTTGCGAAACATATGACTTCGACTCCGAAGGACCCTCGATTCACCGATACGCGACCGCTCCTAGTGGTGCTGCGCCTGCCGAGTTATCGATATCGCATCAGTACGGCAAATCATCTATCTCAATGAGTCTTTGCATTCTTCTATTTGCCATTGTTACATCGTTTCCGATTTTTGCCTGGTCCGCGACGAGAAATTCGTCCTCACGTCGATGTTCCTTGTGAGTGTATGCGTACCGCTGCTGTCGATCGGCTCCCCATTTGGTGGTCAACCCGAAAGTATTGCTTGAATTATTCACGCGCGGCGCTCCGAATCCCACCCGATTGATTTACGGCCATCGATCGTAATAATTCACTGAACGTATGACTCTGATCTGATGGGGCATTGTACAGTTTATGATCGGATCTTGTGTTTTCAACTGTGAATAAAATCCCGTCATCGATGTTCACAAAAATCGTTCCTTTTTTTTCGATCAAGTGTCAGGATCGGTAGTCTCTGCTGGAGAAGTAGTTTCGTCTTCGCATCAGACATTCGAACGGAGCGCAGCACCTTGAACTCCAACCCGGGGAACGTCGGAAGTCGGGAGAAATCAACGTAGGATTTGGTTTTTGCGGGTGCCGAGATACTGAACCGGTGGATGGCATTACAAATGAATTGCCGTTGACTCGCGGATGGTTCTTGAATCCGCTCAATCCTTCTGAAACTTCAGGGTCGATGCACTCGCTCGATCTCAGATTCTCGAACCTTTCTTAATCCGAAAGTAGATCAATAGAAAGCAATGCGATGAGTCGAATTTCGGAAGAGTCAGAGCTTACCCTCGAGTTTCGTGGACCGGGACACAAGGGGTCCTCGCGGTCCTGCTGTCCTGAACCTCAACTCTTGACCGGCGTCGGAAATTCGGAGACAGAGATCACCGACCGGGAATTGCGCTCAGATAACAATAAGAACGCTTTCGTATCAAGGGAACCAAGCGATACCTGCTTGGCGCAACAAGGCCAAACAAGTATCATGTGTTGATTCACGATATGAATGCCTTGATCATCTGCCAATCAAGCGGGCTGAACGGTGACCCCTTCCCACAGGGCTGAGAACGGTGTCTGCGGACCTCCCTCCCCTCGCAAATGACAGTTATTAGGGATGAAGACGTCCGTTGACCATTACGACGCACGGCGATCGCAGAAGAACGGAATCAACAAAGGTCGGGGACGGTTCGACCCGAATCGTTTTTATCACGAAGTTCCGTGGGGTACATGGAGGGATGGGAATGCTGCAACGACTGGACGTTTGAATCCGCGACCTGAATAGACATCGTCTCAGTGCACTCAACCCTGTACGGCCTAAATTGAACCACAAGCCGAATATATCCCCCTGTTGTAAATTCGCGCTCTCCGTCTGATCAGTATTCACGAATCATCGCCTTGACAGGGGAGGATGGAAAATAGAATGGGGTATCCTGGCGGTCTCAACTCTCAAAAACTTGTCGGACGAGATGAGGAATAATCGAGAGATTGCCACGAGAGCTGTACATTCGACCACCCGATGAAGAGGACACGAGGAACAACAGTTGTTGTGAGGCAAAAAGTTCCGAAAGTGAAAACAGAAAGCCATCAGACGACGAATCGCTCGGGGCAAAACTAGGGTAGAATCAACTTCCGGGCAGGGATGAGGCTAGACGCGGGCTTTCGGGGAACACAAGTAGAGAGAAGCTATCTACGAATCGACCGAGCCTCTCGCCTCTAGATTCTCTGAAAAGCGAGAATATCGAAACGGAGTGCCGTGAAGAGACCGCCGGGCGGTCCTCGAACGTGGTGTCACGAGCAAGACCAGGTCAGTATTGCCGGAGTTGGTCACGCGCACGAAGTCGACATGACATTGGATGGAATATTTATTATTTCCGTGAGGTGAGACTATCTCCTCTCTCGCCCAAAGCTGTAGAGGAGCTGGTGTCAAGTCGTTTTCGGGACTCCACGCCCTTGAATCTCGTGGATACTGCTCACGCGTCATTTGCACATTCGGAAAGCTGAGGGTCTTCGGGGACGCGGCGACTCTGTTCCTTCCTCAATTTTCTCATGCTTAGTATCCGACTATATACCGGGAACTCTGACGAGCTGACCCGAGTCGCTACCTGGGTTCACTGGAAGAAATTCGCGCGCGTGGAATCAATCTCGAACTTCTGAGTAATCTACCCTGCTGAGTGAGGGTTGGAGCATGAGTCGACTAGCGGGAGCGCCTGAATGTCTCGAACCTGTAGAGGCCATAAGGTTCGGAAGATCGTGAGTGTCACCGACTCGGTTTCACCTAGGATCAGGAGAAGTGATTTCAATGCAAGGACTTGTATAAAGGATTCGCAGTGGAATGGGAGACCGACGAGGCGTCTCGCTCTGCCGATCGAGCCTCGATTCGCTCTCAGTGCAGCATCGATCCTCTCGGAGTCTATTGTGAGCGGAATCCGGTTGCACGGGAATCGACTCTTTTGCCAGGAAGCACGCATGCCATCTCGATGAGTATCCGCATAGCATGAGAGCCAACAGAAGCCGCACGCGCAAAACGGTGAGCGATGGCTCGGCCTCCATCTACGCCACTACGTCGGAGACCTTTGACCCGATGACCGACTCCAGCTTGCGACTCCGATTCAAGCGACGTGACTGGGGCAGTTCCTAAATCTTCGACAAATCTCCGGCTGGGCAATCCAGCTGAATCGTTCCACCAGTCGGAGCGTATACTTTCGTCAGCTCCCCCAGTTTCGAAAACTAGACCGAGTCTCGAAACCTCCCTTTCAGTGCATGTCCTTTCTCAAGGCTCCGTTTGACATCGTGGAAGGAGAGCACTCGATCGACCTCCATCAGACTTCCCTGACGTAGAGCTGATCAGTGAGGTGGACATAGTCCTTTTAACGGATCCAGCCGATTGATATCGCGATCTTTGGGCCATGAATTATGAACGATTCGACGGAGAAGTTAGTATATTCCCGGCTCTACTATATTCCCGGCTATCGGGAATATAGTTTCCTCATACGTATCTCATCGTATATCGTCGCTTCTGTCGAGAAAGTGACCGAAGAGCACGCAGTTTCATCGAATAAGACCGTCTTATGAGATCGCTTGTCAGACAGCCAAGACGGAGCTCGTGTCCTTTGTACAGGTGTTGATTTCTTGTCTCAAAATAGAGGGTGCTGCCCCTCGCTCGCACTCCGTGCCAAACCCACATGAGCTCCTTCTCTCTTTTCCGCCTGGGAATCATGTAATCCCGAGCCATGGAAATCTCGATGGTCGCGAGAAAAATGGCAGAGAGGGCCGCAAGTTCGGCCTTTCTGAAGGCTCAAATGTCCCACTTCGGGACGGAGCTATGTACACGCGTTCGAGACGGAGCTATGTACACGCGTTCGAGACGGAGCTATGTACACGCGTTCGAGACGGAGCTATGTACACGCGTTCGAGACGATGAGCTTTATGATCCTTGGGTCCGTATTCACGATTTGAGCGTCGCATCAGCGTACATCGCCAACGTTTCGAATGTCAAACTTTGCCGGGAAAAAATATTCGTCACGGCAATCTCGACTATATTCTTACAAAATACCGCCTGGCAGGTGGAATCGAACCACTCCGAGACTAGTCGGCTACGGGTTTGAAGCCCGCACCCCGGACCACCGAAGTTCAGCCAGGCACTCATGCGTTGTTGCCGGGCTCATATATACAGGGAAATCACAGCCGTACTCTGATTTCGAACGACAGCCCGAAGCTTCCGTCAAACTGTCGTGAACTCCGATCGAGTGCTGGCACCAAGCATCCGCTGAGAGCCTCCCTCTTAGCCGAAACTTGTCTTCTGTAAGTGAACCGCCCGCTGTCCTTCGGCCTGGATCCGATCATGTGGGCAAACAGTCTTCAAAGTTCGCAGGCATCGCTACCGGGGTATCCGAGAACGACGTCGACGGCGGTGACTTCCACTTGAAGACGTGCTTCTCTACTCATGGGCAACGAATAGATGATGCCTCTTCCCGTTCGAGATCCTTGAGGAAGATCATGAGGATGCGCTAGAGCAGTCGTGTAGGGCCTTCCCTCTCTCTCTTTGAGATGTCTATGGTCAGTGTGTTCGCCGCGCAACCGCCTGTGTCGATGGTCACGATTACGTCAATACTCGAGAACACTTATCCGAGCGCGTTTAATGCGTTTTTTCCCCTCACAGTGACAACCTGTGGTCTCGGTGTCTCGCTATGGCACTCGGTTGTTTTGGACGAGAGGAGACTAGCACGACTCCGCTGATGTTGACAACTTTCTGATTTGACAACACTCGACGCAGGGAACTTTCGCCAACGAAATGGAGAAGGAGCCGATGTTCACAATGGGTATCCCTAGGACTCCCTGGAACAAATTCAATAAGAATCATTTGTGAGCAATCGACGGCTAGTCTCCTTTGACAATATCGGACCTCGCTGCCTTCTCGAAGCTCGTTTGCACTGGTACCGAAGCTAGATTGGTTTGTTTACACAGTGCCCCATGCGCGAGACTTCGAGCCTCATTCCGACGAAACGATGAAAGCTGGGATGCTACCCGCGCTTCTCCGACATCTTCCGTTCCTCTCGGCATTTTTTTTATGTTCACATACAGGGAGGTGATATGTACCTCTTTGACCTGAGCCAATCGATGATCATGAGATCATAAGCGCCTTGGCGTAGAAGCCACGCGGACCACACACGATGATCTACTGAGATACTGCATCGGGACGCTTCCAGGGGAGATGCTGGGCCTGAGAGCATCCCCTAGGCCCTAGATCAGTGACCTGAGACATTTCGGCGATGCACGATGTCTAGAACTTGCAGGAGAATATTTCGATCCCGGTCGTTGTTACCGACCCAAATGTTTCTCAGAGTCCCCTCGCGCGAGAATTCCTCGAACAGCGATTGAGGCTTTATCGGATCGATTCAGGGTACGACCTTAGTCTTTATGTCTCCAGCGAGAGCCAGAACGAAGCCCGATCACTCTTCGGTGATTCGGACTTCCGAACCCTACAAGATTCCGAGCCAAAGCACGTCCTTAATAAAAATCGCCAGACACATTAAGGTTCTCCAGTTTATGGAGCGATCGAAATCCTATGAAGATACCCGGCGGAACTGGCACTTCAGCAAAGCTGAGAACGATACCAGTCGAATTCTGGGAAGGAGGATGGCAAGGTCCATCTGAGTTCGAACGTCGGGTATTCAATGAGCTTCTGACAGGGAAGCGCAAATGGATCCCGGCAGTCGATTGTCGCGTCGCGACTGCTCAGACCTGTGAGGGATCCCGGAGTCAATTCGAATTCTGCAAGGAAACTTCTGGGATCTTCGATCCTCAAGTGCGATTCCAATGACGTATTTTCGACCACGGGCACTCGGAGCTTTCGAAGAACTAGGGTCTAATCCTTCTCTCGCAAGCATCGGCAATAGTTAACCTAAGTCCCAAATGCAGCTGTTCAGGAGTCCGCATGGGAAGGAGTCTGAGCGAAATCTAGAGACCCGGAAGACGAGCTAGGAACTTCTCCCGGCGAGGAAAACAGATCTTGCCGCCTGCTCTCTGTAGCTCTCTGTCCGGGTGGATGATTTTCCGAGCGCGCTGTCCGACGAAACATCAGTCCTCGAGGAATAGTAGGTACCGAATGAAGATCATCCTTTCCCCAGAAGTCCACTGCCCCCTTTCCTAGACATCGTAGCTGCATTCTCCTGCAGGGAAGCCTCTGGTGATCTCGAGGAACGGAATGAGCGGCATAAAAAATTCAAAGAATCGATGAAGTCATGCTGAGTGGATCATCTCCGGAACTCTTCGGGGCAATGGGGGCGACCGAGAATCAACCGGAGTCGGAGCGAGCCGAGAGGAACACATACTCTTCTTCCTATGGCCATGGAGGAGATTCAATGACACTGACGTCAATTGTTACGAGGAGACAGGAACTAAAGTATCAGGGGGCGGACGTAACGTTATCCACGGAAATGCGATAACAGCGCGCAGTCTGTGGGTGTTGGCGTCAATCGATCGCCACTACCGCCCAAAGTCGAAGCAGAACAGCTCCTCAAACTTGTCAAATTCTTGCACTTCTGTGGGCAAGATAGAGTTGAGAACAGAGAAGGGCGCGATGCCAGAAAAAAAAGTATTAGTTGTCTTTAACCAGTAAATTCCGCACCTCCCTTTCAGCTTCTGGTATCGTAGTTAGAATGTCCTTGGCAGAACATGGCGCCCAGATATAACTGTCGGCGCTTAACATGTCTCGACTAGGAATCGATCTCGACGCTAATTCTGCTGAGCATAAGCCTCTCTTGCCAATCCAGGCGTTGCTTTCGACTTATGAAATATGGATCAGGCGCGGTCGGATATATGTATAAGAATATACCCGAGTCCTCCGTATATTGTACCATATATTTCAATACCTATGATTCCAAAATAGATTCAGGATATTCCGCCAGGCCATAATTTTTATTTCCATCGAAGATTTAGAAACCTCGGGAGCAACCGGTCAGGTTCGATGATCATGAAGAATTCAGAAATCATCGGATGGGGACAAACTCGATCGTCGACTATGGATTAAACAATTTTCGCCGTGAGCCCTTTCAATCAATATCCTTCGGTACAGACGTCTGACCGGTCCTATCGGATCGAAGTCATCATTGTGTCGATCGAGCGCGAAGCAAACATTCAGAGAAACGAGCCGCCGAACCCAGTGCTTCGGATTTGTCCCAGGTTCAGTGTCATCATGGACTTCCTAAGATGAGCGGCCTCCTTCGAGAGTTCTATATCAACTCCCTCACTGTACAAGCTTTCGGCCCCGAATATTGAGGGACCTATTCGGATGTTCTCATAAATACAGACAAGCATGCAAACTTATTCCAAGTTCATCGAAGGTCAACGCCAATATTTGATCTATTTATCTTTATACACTGGGATTCCTCCAACGGTGAAAGTTGAGGGAGGTACGAATATCTCCTTTTCACCGATCGTCTTGATGGGTCTCCGCCGGCGGAAGGTTTCGGCGAACTTCTCGTAAGGTCTGTGGACAGGTAGCTCGATGGCAGGGGATACAACGATTGCTTCTGAGGATGCGGCGTGGAGTCCACCCTGTGGGAAAGGATTCCTTTTCAGTTTTTCCTTGAACTCGTCATCCACAACATTCGTGACCGCTGATAACAAGCTGGGACGAGAGCCTCACCGTGACGATCGGGGGAGCGTGATATGCCCGGAGTCTCGGGGAACCAATTATCCCGGAGGGAACGATCGCGGGACTGGATACAAAGGCAGCGGCTGACGGTCCGATGACTTTCCGCACGGGCACGGGTTTGATGATGGGCTGTGCAACCCGCGAGGCAGCATACGCAAGTGGAGCCGAATGAGCTAGCTGAGGAGTTAAGGAGGAGACGATTTTCTCAGTGAGGGGAATCGATTGCACCTTCGATTATGATCATCGGAGAGTTCCTAGAGTTTTAGAGTACCTTCAATCCAAACTCAGGGTAGGCATCCACCGGATGCGCGAGGCTTCTCGCCCTTGGAACCGTGACGATAGGCGCGGATATTCTCGGAGAAACTACGATCCGTTCAGATGCGGTTCCGTATACGACATCCGCGCTCAGTCTAGGTCGCTTGAGTAGCAATGGCGCAGGTGCTGGGACGATAGAAGCTACCGGCGAGGCCGCGACCGGCGCCACCTGCAGCTGTTTGTTAGCCGAGAGGATCGGCGCGACCCTGACCTCAGCTTCTCCGGTTTTCTCGATTCGGGCGGCGGCGGGAGCCGAGTCGCTCGTTCCGGGCTCGTTCGTCTTGACCCACGCGCGGAAACCGTCGTGGTCGGCGATGTAATTGACTAATCGATACATTCCGTGCGCGTCGCGGTACCCGAACGAGCCCCGTTTCGTCCCATCTCCGAGGTCCTCTTCGTGCCGGGACTGCGCGTTGCCCCACTCGTCCTGAGACTCGTAACCAAACTTGTATGGCTGAGGAGCGTGGTTTTCCTGGAGAAAGAAAAGGGAATAGTGCTCGCGATCGAATCGCTCCCAGATACCACCGCGAGGCATTCGGGACAGCTGCCGAATTCCAAGAGAGCGATTCCTGGGGCTCTAACGGATAGCTTGCAAAGACAGCTACTTAGCCGTGATCATTGGGGAGGGGTTTCGATTGTTTTTCTCGATGCAGGCATTTCAGTTCCCGATCCAGAGAGGAAAATATCTTCGACTTCTGTGTATTCTACGGCCACGAAAGGTCATTCTGTGGCATGATTTTCGGTCATTCTGGGAGACATTCAAACGTTTGTGAAAGCCTTTTTTTTGTTACAAAAAGTCATATATCCGAGCGACGACCACTTCAAAGAGGTCGAACATTGCCGGAATGGGCGCTAAAGAGACGGAATGTGCCGAGTCGATCTGAATACATCGGCTTAGCTCGTCGTTTCGGCGGTTTGAGTGAAAAAGAAACTGCAGAACAGCATTCGGAACTTCGCGGACACATCCATGCCATCCAAGGTTGGACATCGTTTTCCATCGCGTGAGTACCACGCGTCGACGCAATTATAAAGTTCAGGAAAAAGCTACAAGGGAAAATCTCATCATGGATTGCAATGTATTCTGTGAGGAAAATTTTCTGTGTGGCCGCCGGCGGACCTTCAGGATCGAGCGAACCCTGACTCGTTCTTCGCATAAGAAGTTAAAAACGTTAGGGCGGATTTAGGGGTCCAAGAGCACCGGAACATCTTGAGTAGCATTGTCCGCCGGGAATTTGATTTACCTCGGTGACGTGACCCGAGAAAACGCCTACCGCGCAGAATATCACCTAGAAATAGAAGAAAAGAATAGGTCAGAAACGGACCGAGAGCTCTCTCTCAGAAGACGAAACTCACAACGAAAATCCGCCTTCGCGGCTATCCGCCCGAGAGAAGAGACGTCAGAGCCCATAGACCCGACGACAGCGGAATAGCTCAGAGGACTAACTATCGGTATTTATGTGTTTTCCTTTGACGTATCTACTGAGTAAACACAAGGGCTGAGAAACGACAAAAAAAAACGAGGGTTTCGTTACTTTCGAAGGGATATGTCCTCCAGAAACATCTGGATCTGTTTCGAAATCTAACCAGAAACCCACGATGTAAGTCAAACGACACGAATGCCGTGATACATCGAGATACTTTCCGCAGCGGATTCATGGCGGTATCCGCTGAGCGACGTACGTACAAAGCGCCGCTCAGTCATAAAAGAGATCCTTTCACGATAAAGGGCCTTCGATGACCTTCGCGCGCTCACAAACTCTTGCTTGTCGAGAGTGACCGTGCAGTGCAGGAGCGCATACATGGAACCTGGTCGCTCCCTCGCCATTGTGGCAGCATTAGATTTATCGAAGTTCGAAATGAAAATTTGATTTAATGCTGTGATCGGAGCACCCAGCAGGCCGATCCGCCGACATTGGAGCCATTGGAGTCGCGGAATCAATCTCACAAGAGAAGAATGGAATAGCTCCCGAATCCAAGTGAATCGAATTCTCCGATCGGTTCCCGCTGGATAGCGAGAAATTCCGGGAGCTCATGGGAAGTTTTCGTCGGCTACATGCGGAATGCTCGAAACGGTATTCCTCCATCTCTTCCCGAAGATGTCAGCGTACGCTCATTCAAAGAATCACGGGAATGCTTCCCTATAGATTCCAGGACTTTCTAGAGCATTTCGAACGCTCCGGAGAGATCAGGAATCGCACAGTCGGTGGAAAACTTCTGAATCCCCCTGGAATCCTTGACTGGCGCCCGCTTGGCGAGCATGGATGCCGCAGATCATCAGCAAGGCAAACTCGATCGTTCACTCAACAGCCACAAAGCGAACCGATCGCGTAGGTGACGCAGAAATTCCCACGCTGAGTTGACGAGCAAAAACCGTACGCAAACTATCGCGTATTTTCTGGGTGCCCCTTTGGTTTCTCTCCATTACTGAGCGAGCGAGTTCCATCAGCAGTTTTCAATTTCGTAGGTTTGCGACCAGAAAATCAAATGCCATTTCGTCAGAGTCCTTCGCGGACAAAAGCTTTAGAGAATATATCGCTCAGAGCAGTTCGCTCTCAGCGTGAACAATGGACTGAATGACTCAAGTGGCCGCGTAAGTCGGTGTCTTCCAGCTGCCAGAACTATTACGAAGAGGACCGAAAATCTCCTGGAGCGTGCGCGGATAGATGAAGAGTGTATTCTGTCACCGTAATAACGAAGAACGTTCCCATCGGAATAGGCGATTACCGAAAAAGTTTCTAGAGAGAGGATTCCAAATCCGAGCATTTTTTTTCTTGCCAGTCGGGGTGAGCTCGCTTCCTCTATCCCGACCTCAGGCTCACTCGGTACTCGTGTTGAACACCCCGGAGGCTCCAGCTCCCCACCGACTCATCATGCGGAGCGCAGTTTCCTACCCACCCGTCTCTGGGGAGCTTTAAGATTCCGGCCATCTTCTCCCCGGAGGCGGGCATAGTATACATAGGAATCGACGTCGGGAGCAGTACCGGAGAGAGAGTGGATTCCACACCTGTTTCTGGAAACTTCCTCGCGTGACGATATCAACGGGGAGTTCGCTCCCATCTCCGTTCAATTCCGAAACATTGAAGAGTTTCTCTAGGTCCAGCAAAATGAACGAAAGCCCGATGGGGATCACGATCGATGCTCTGGGCTTATCAGGAGGAACCCCCAGACGATCGACGCGTACAGTGAGGTGCTGGATGTATGGTCTTCGAGTGCGGATGTCCAGAATGCACAATTGCACTCTAGAGTTGGGACCTTCGAATCCCGCGACCATCTCAGATTCTTCTTATCTACATGTGTTCCCTACTTGACTCAACGTTCTCGACTTCGATTCCTAATCCAAGCGCGGGTCTTCTAGTGGTGGTGAGGGGTAATGAAACGTTTCACGCACACACACGTCACGATAATTTCAGAGCCCATACCACGAGACGCATACTCAATCTCTCGGCAGTCGATGGACACTCACAATGACAAAAGCCTTCATTCCTTCGAAGCGAAGTCCGAGTTTTGCGAGTCTTCTCATCGTACAGCTGTTTATGTAGCGCGCGGAAAGGGCCGATACCGCTGCTGCCGTTACCACCACTACCGTTGGACACCGCGCGAGGGTCGGTGCCGTTTTCCTTGCGTTACTTTCTAGAGATAGGATCTTCCTGAGAAAAAGTCAACGGGATTCATCCGGAGAGTGTTCGTCCTCTCGGAGGCCGCAGGAATCCAACGACAGCGCAGGGATCGCACCAGCTTTGTTCGAAGCACCGAAAAGAATGGCAAGAAGTTTGTAACCTCGTTTCTGTCTCTAGACAAGCAGAACGCCCTCGGATTCGGGTAAAAGATTGCGGGGTAGAGACGGTCTGTCGCAGACCGCAACTCGACATTATTTATATTCCCGATGCCCACCACGCGATCTGTGTTGGGCTCGGAGCTACCGCACGGAGGAAGGCTCGGAGCTGTTCCTCCACTCATACTAATTCGTAGTGTCGCGGATCTATATTGCTGAGCATCGGACTCATCCCGCGCTCGGAGCCCTTGATTCTCATTTCGTTGCTGTGATCAGTTCCTTATGTATTATACATTCCGAATATCATGTCGGACGTTCGCAATTCCCGTCACGGCTGCTCTGATGAAAGGTCATCCGTTAATGGATTCATCGAGCTCAAAGAATTAACTCGTCAATACAGCGGATCCGCGATCGGACATCTTCCCCGGAAAACCGCTCAAAAAGGAGGCTCAGAGCTCGACGCTTGCAAAACCAGTGGATTGGTGACTGAGCCCGAGTAGTCGCTCATTGATGATCGTCTGACCTTCTCAATAATCGACTGACTGGTCGCCTGAGTAGAAGCTAGCCTAAGAAGCGCACTTCAGTGTTTCTGTCTAAGTAAAGGACTTTTCGTCGCATTGTTCGAATCGTTCGCTCCACCGCAATTCTGTGTGTCAGAATGCTCGGTCTTACAAGCCGTTCCCAATCGGTAGATTGGTTGAATATTTTCTCGATTTCATCCGTTGGTTTTGAAAGAAAAAAGCCTCAGGACAACTGATCTGACGTTAGCCCCCGCTCAAGAATGCGGTAACCCTACGTAACCCCAGCAAGAGCCGAGGTTTCCACTGAAGTCATTCTCTACTCCCACAAGTCGGGAGAGTTCACCTTCCAACAAATGTTGCAAACGAATTTGTCCGGTCATTCTCCACCCTTCGGAAAGGGTTCATTTGTAATGATACCGTGTTCCGTTCGAAGGCAGCGAAGTCCATTCGGTAAGAAAAATGTCACGCCCGTTACGTGCTGCCACTGCTCGATGTCAAGGAACGTGATGCGTCGATAGCTCTACCACGCTTCGCTGCGGAATATGAGCTGCATTCGACCCCAAATAGAAACAACTCAGAGAATATGTAATTCAGAACGAAATCAGGAGAAGAGATCCGATACTCGGGAAGCGAAGGTGTGCACCTGGAAATGGCCCACTCAGCCGACAAGATCTTTCCTGGAACCCCGTACGTGGGTGTGTGTGGGTACCGGCTCGGATCATCACAGACATTGTGACTACGTATTAGGTTCCGAGTCGGGGAGGAAATGTAAAAATGACTCATTCCCAACGTCTCCCAGAAGGTACTCTTCAATCGTTCAAAGCCTCAGACGAAGTTCCCGAGCTCAGATAGCGTCCGATCCTTCATTTTCTTCCGAACTTGGTGCCTCAACTTTTTCCCGTAGCAGAATGACGATTGTCTCCTGATATACTGATGGGATACCGCGAATATACCACAAGCATCAGCGAGAAATATTTCTCAAGAATGACCTTGAGCCAGGGTTACTCGATGACAGGTGCTCGCAGATTCTTCCTTCGGCTCGTCCCGTGAGCTCCTTGAGCTTGAGTTCTATCGAGCCGGAGCTCTTCGGAGCGTTGCCGAGAGCTCCAACTCACTTCGCATTCGATCGAGCCACAGAAGGTTTCTTTCCCGAAAATCCGCCCGACATTGGAGCCTAAGCTGACAATCGAGCTTAAACTCCACCTGACAGCTTAATTCGTATTCTTCTTACCGATAATTCTGCCCAGAAAAGGCTCCGCTGGATTTAGCAGCGGCCCGAGCGGTACCGCAACAGCGATTAACGTCGGCCACGCCTCCTGGATTCATTGATGATCAACGTATTTCGGTCGTGTGACTCGAATACAATGAAGAGCTCGGTGTCGAGTTCCACCAGCATCTGACCACCTATGAGCGCTTTCTAGTTGGCAGGACAATGCTCGGACTGTATTCTTCTGGATTTCGAATGAAGCAGTCCTTCACGATGTTGTTCAAAGAGTTCAAGCTGTGTGAGGCAATGTCTGATCTAGAACCTTCGAAGCTGTCATGATTCACACAAGTCCGAGCGTTGTGCTTACATCTCATACTTTCGGTTGCAGTCAGCTTCGACCGCTCGCTGAATCGGCCGATTTCCTAAAAATTCGGATTCGTGGGGAGCCGTGGGCGCGTCGATGGGGTGGGCGACTTCGACAACAATGCGAGTCCGTTGAGAAAACTGTGATTTAGCTTGTCAATTGGATACCGCAGATTCTCCTCTCATGCCGTCATCTGACAGACGGATGAGACAGCGAATTATCTGTAACCACTCCGGATGAGCATCGATCTTCCGGCGGAAAATATCCTTTGCGCAAGTAGCTCAGACGATTACGGGCCACTGTGTGGGACAGAGTGGGTTCCATTTCGACTAGGAGGGGAGTTTTCGGCTAGTTTAAGGGGCGAGTGGTTTGCAATGGAGTCAGCAAGCGGCTCCAAAAGACTCATCTTCCCGGGCTCCAATGTTCGCGGATCGCCCCCGGGGAAGCGTCTGACTCAGGAAGGAGTTGATGGCATGTCGAGCTGCTAGCATGTCGTGACTGATCAGGAGTATTTCGTGAGTTCTGGTAGTTGGACGAGATTGGAAGAACTTGCTTTAGCCCTCCATCATTATTTGATCAACCAGACAGTCGGGGACGGAGGGGGATATTCTGGAACTCTTATGGGAGTTTCGATCATAGGGTTCGCGTAATTCCGCGTGGCAAGATGAAGCCCTTGTCGGAAGAAGATTCTAGGAGTAGTGGTCCTGTCGAACTGACCGTTCCTAGCCTTGCAGATGATAATTTTTCCGCCTCGATGATTCGAATTGATAAACTCGAGCTTGGAAGTCCGTTTTTCCACTATCTTTGTCAAGAGCCAGCCGAGAAACGAGCTAGTCTGGTTTGATAATGTTATCCTCCTGTCAGCTTCCGACCATTGGGATTTCCTTCCCCTTGTGAAGTGAGATGGACTTCCCGTGGTTGTCGACTTTCAATCGAATGAGCTCCAGCTGCAAGGTCACTG